GTCTAGGTAGATCCCCGCTTCTCTGCATTCCCCTCGTAAACCTACTCCCGCGCCCGTAGAGGCAAACTCAGCTTGTGTTGGGGCATGTTTCAGCGACGGAAGACCCAACCCCCCCCCCCCCCCCGGAACAAAGATGAAATCCAGGGAGGAGACGAGTGGAGTTCCAGTTACCCCCGACTCCAAATACCCGGCCACTTTTAATTCAGGGTAACAGAAGTCGACCCTCTACTCAAAAAGGAGGTAATTTACCTTGAAAAACCGATCGGTGTTTCCTTGAAAATACCCTAGAAAAAGTGGGTATTTGGAGTAGGGGGCGCCCTTCCATTTTGCGCTGGGAAGTCTAGATGCCTTCGTCCGTTGGCTGATGCTTTACTCCCAACACGAACACATCCGCGTGGACCGAATGACATGCATCGGAGTTCCCTCATTGTTTGCTTGACAACTCCCTGCACGCGCTCCACACAGCGTTCAATGAAAGCTCAGCTCGAAGAGCTGGTGGCAAGGCCAATTTCTTTTCCTCGCCCCTTACAACCCCCCATTGGCCATAAGCGGTACCCGGTTTTGGGCACTCACTTGAGCGGCCCGAAACCCATGCTCAAAACAGAACCCGAAACCCCACGGTTAAGCAAGACTCGTCCCAAACCTTTGAAGGTCCCTTTGCTTCCCAATGGCTTGATCTGATTGCGAATGGCCTAGCTTGCCCTTGCGCATTTTGGAATTCAACTTTTGCTTCCGGCAACAAATGATCGCTGTTTGCGGTAAAGATAACGTTTCGTTTGGGAAGCACCTTAAATCTTAAGAGGTGAACTGGCTAGCTCGGGACTGTTTGCAGCCTCAAGAATCAACGGGTACTGTACTCTTTTCATGGCTGGTTTCGGGCGTGACCTTCTGTGACTTCTTGGAAGCAAATGGCTGTCCCATTCAACTTGCAAAAGGTTAGAACTGTTGCTCAGGGGGAAGGAAGAGCAACCCAGTTTTGCAAGAAGAGCAGGAAAAAAATGATCCGTCATAAATGTTTTGGGCAGTTTCAGAGCTCAAACTAAAAGGGGTCCGTGTCTGAGTTGATTAGTGGCACATTTTTGTACCTCTCGTTTGGTGGGTGCCCAACTAAACATGATGACTCGCAAAACAAGTTTCAACCCCTTTTCGAGTACCCAGAGGCTCCGGGGGCTTCAATGGAAGACCCGACCCCTCCATTAGACGCCCCGGAGGTGGTTGGGGGTCTCACCGCTTTTCAATCCATTCCCTAAGTCTGTAGGTTCTTTTTTTAAAGGGTCATGGAGACTCCAGGTAGCGCCACTGGGCAACTTATTCAACGCTGCACCGCCACACATTGGAGAGACGCAGCCGTTGGGCGGTTCGGCTGTTCCACATTCGCCAGGCACTGCCGTAAGTCCTTGCCTCAGCACCCTTTTCTTGAATTGTTGTGCGTGTGTGTTTGTTTGTTTGTTTGTTTCCTTGCTTGCTTGCTTGCTTGTTTGTTTGCTTGCTTGCTTGTTTGTTTGTTTGCTTGCTGGGGCGTGTTCTGTTGTTCCTTTTTGTCCAGTGCTGCTTCGCGCTGTTTTGCGGTGTTGCATGTTGCTTTCATGTTGGTTTCTAGGTCGTGTCGTGTGTTGACGCGTGTCTTGTCGTGTCATGTCGGGCTTCGGCTGGAGTTACACAGCACCTGTTGGGCCAATTCAAAGTAAGCTTCCTGGGGCGGTGTTTCAAAACATATACGTGGTCAGTTGGAGTCCGGTAATTGTTCGGTTTTCCAGAGCCACTACTGTGGATGGACGAAATCCTGCACCACCGTTCAGAAACCCTAGAATGATGATTCCCCTGTAAATGCCAACAGACAATGTTCCCCATGGTTTCTCAAGTAGTGCAGGATTTCGTCCGTCCACAGTATGAACCACCCAATGTGAAGAATCGAGGCGAGAGGCTTTTCCGTCTCTGCGAAGACCGCTGAGACTGCCCAGTGGCCTTAGGAAAGTCGACTCGCCTAGGCAAATCCGAGCATGAAGTTTGGTGAAATGTACTGGTTGTTGAGTGTATGGCTATGTTTGGATATGTTTGGCAGGGACAGGCAACTCACGAAGTTCCCAATAGTCACCTGGACACTCACTAAATTCCCATGCCCTCTTGGGAATCCAGTTTTGACAGTAGCTCATTTAGGCTGTCAAGTTCCTGTGGAGGGAAGCAAGCGCTTGTGATGTCTGCCATGCAGCCCTCAGTAAATTTGGACAACCGTTGTATGCGTTCCTTTGTAGAGGAATATGTGCGTTCCTTTGTAGAGGAATGTGTGCTTCGCATTGGAGTCCCCTCTTTAAGAGGATAGTTGCATGGTTGTGGAAATTTGGTTGTCAGGGCCATTTTCTGTGATACCACGAGAACCCCCTTCAAAAATTAATCACAGGGATGGCTGACTGTTGTATCTCTGTACAGAAAGGGCCATTGGACACAATAGTTCTGTCGGTTTCTTCCACAAAACCGCCTTATTCGGCTGCAAGGTTGAACCAAACCACGCATATTAAGCCTCAGGGGGGAGTCTTTGGGGCTCGCTCGGATTCTTTGCTGTCAGGACAGCTGAACATTTCTTCAAAGGCCTGTCTTTTGACCCCCCTCCATCCCACAACTGCTCCTTCCAGGAGGTCCCTTCCTGAAGGCATTGCCCGTCAAAAAAGCGCCTGTGTCAGGGTGTGGGTTTTGGGTGGTTTTAAGAGGAAACCAGAAGAATGCCAATCATGTTGTTTTTGTTGGGGGAGGGGTCCTCTATTTTGAAGATCGGCCCATATACAGCCTGGATTTGTTTAAGCCGTCGATCATCGTTCCCGTTTCGTTCTGCATTTCTGTGGGCAACAGGCAAAGCCTTGCGCCCAATCGGTCAGCCGAGTGGAGATTTAGGGGTAATGTGCCACTCCTTGTGAATCACTCAAACCGCCTCAAAGCTTAAATGCGGCAGAGAACCGGTTTGCGTTCCATAATTTGTGAAGATGAGGGACGTCAAATCTACACGGCCACACACTTCCGTGTGTTAACAATCTTTAATTTGAAATTACACCAGCATTCAACCACGATAAACTTATTTGCTTCATAAGCTACATCGGTCCGTGCAGGTGAATTACTCGAACTCTGAACCACCATGCCTAGCCACTGTCAAACTTATATTACTACAGCTCTTAATTAGCATAACAGACTTCTTCAGTTCTTCACCACAGTCAACGTCTTGATTGAGATGGCTAAACCTGATTGAACCGACGTACATGTGTTTCTCCATATGGCTGTGGGTCAAAAGTAGGTACCCAGAATGAACTCTGGTAGATGGAAACATGGAGTAAAAGCTGTGGCCCCCTGGTGGTTTAATTTTGACTCATACCCATATATCTACACTGGGCTGCGCAGGGCTTCCGTGCAATCTGCCGCGGGCAAAACAAATTCAATTCGAGCCGCAGACGTCGACCGTGTTCGCTCAAGGGCACCTGGGGGTGAAAAACACAACCAAACACCCAGTGGGTTGCTTTCGGTTTTCATTTCTTGGAAAAGGTTTCACCGCTTTGCATTGAAAGCCAGCTACCAGAAAAAGCTGGCCTGTGTTTTCCAAGGGAAATCCACTGGGGAAGCAACCAGCCTTACCCCTCGTCTTGGGAACCAGAATCGCACCCGGAAAACTCAAGGCGGCACCCTCTGCCCTCTCCAGTTCTGAGGGTTCATGAGCAAATGGGTGGCGTGGTGTTGTCTAGGTCCCCTCAGTAGTGCCCTTTCTCACCCCTTTTTTGGGGGAGGGTTCCCGCACTAGAATAGACTACAGCAAAAAAGGGTACCCTTATTCTAACCTCTCTGCTGGAGGACCTAGTTTGTGTAGTTGTGTCCCAATTGTTTGTGGGTTTAAAGGAAAGCCAAAAGGAAGACCCTCCCAAAGAGTTGCGCATCCAAATGAGGACGCAATTAGAGTTTCAGTTTCCAGTTGCGGGTGATACCAGGGGTACCTTCTGAAACCAGTACAGTAATGCGGATTGCCTCACTCAGTGCCAAGGAAATTGTGTTTCTCCAGCAGCATTGCACCCTTTGTATGAAGCTTGTAGCTAGTCCCAAAAGGAGATGCCTCAAAAACTGGTGGTTTTCCTTGCCAATCTACACAGGAGTGGCCGAACATGCGACCTTTCTCGGACCCTCAGTCGTGTTGGAGTCAAAACTGTTGACAAGCCCCCGACTTGATCAATTACACCAGGGTTGAGGGGGAGGCTCAGTAAGGAATGACCGAGTCCGGGTCTTGAGATGACCCGTTTCGGGATTTCCCAAAAGGAAGCCAAATCGGAAATGGACAAATCCTTTTTCTCGGGGTCATTCCGACTCACTCATATTCTTTGCCGAGATCACACCAGCAATTTGAAAAGCTCAACCCCTATACATGCTGTGGATAGTTGCGAAATCCATGCAACGCACCACCGTTCAGAAACCCAACAGAATGATTGATTCCCCAACGTAAAAAAAAAAAAAAAAAAAAAAAAAAAAAAAAAAAAAAAAAACAGCCTTACGGCTTCATTCCCATGGCCTCTCATTTCGTGCGGGCGAACGGAGTTCGATTTCAAGCATCCACAGTAGGCGTTTCTCCAGGTTTGGAGACCCAGTCTTCCAGGTCTGTGCCTGGATCGCCCGCGTTGTTTTTGTTCCGTCCATTTTAAAAGCCCCCAAACACCGAGCGCAACAGCGACTGAAAAGAAGGATGGCAGCTTGGCCATCGAGGTATGTTCAAGAGTGAAAACTCGATTCCCTTTAAAACCAACCCGGGAAAATCAAAGGAAATTTCATTTCAGCAAGTTTTCCTCCCAGAGGCTCCTGGGGCTGTCAATGGAAGACCCGAGCCCTCCATTGGACCACCCCGCTTCGGTGTTTGGGGATCTCAAAACCTGGCTATTCCAGGGCTCTAAATCAATCGGGAGCTGGGCCGGACCAATTTCTTCCAGTGGCTTCCCTTTCGCTCCGCTGCAGCTCGGGACGCACCCCCGGCCACGCGGCCCGCTCGAGGAAGGCTCCAGCACCGCCACCGCCACCCGAAGCCGAGAAGACTTGAGCCATGGGGCAGGCCGGCCAGCAGCGTACCAGGCAGAAGAAGCTCAGCGGCGGCAACAAGAAGGCGCCATTCGCGCCAGTGGATTCGCGCGAAGAAATGGCCATGGGTCAAAACCAACGGTACCATGTTGGCATAGGTGCACTACCCATATCAGTTGTTTGGTCCAACTCAGGGTTTGCCTTTTCCACTATTTGTGGTTGATAAAAATGAGCAGCCCCCCTGCTGAACTAAAAAAACACGTTTTCCAGGGAGGCGGACACCATTTCAGTGACAAAGGCAAACCCTGCAGAAGGCGCCCCGCTGACTTGGGTTCGCGCGGGTTGACAAAAAGGGCAGTCGATGTGTGATGGTCGGCAACTGCCCCGCAACCGCCCCCCCCCCCCCCAGAGCCGAATGGCGGCTCGTCGTTTTTGTTGGAAGGTATACCACCTTTTTCGTGTGCGGTTTAAAAAGGGAAACCACAAGGAACACCACCATACTTTTTTTTGGGGGGGAGGGGGGTCCCCTACAAAAAGACTGACCCAAACACGGATGCCAACTCAATATTCCACCTGATTTCCGAGAAAAATGCAAGGGGAAGAAGTCCTGGAGCAAGTTACGATGACTTTTTGGGTTAAGTGTGCTTGGTCGCAGAGCGCGGAATCCCCTAATATCGTATTTTACATGGTTTGCCAGTTTTTAGCATGTTTGTGTGTGTGTGTGTGTGTTTTTGTTTGGCGCCTGGTTGGTTTCCTTGAACAAATAGGGCATCCCCTGCCGGATTCCCCTCCCCGCGCCTCCCTAAAAATAAGGCGCTCTGCCTTCTTCAGACCAGTGGCGGCTCGTTGCTTGTGGCTTTGCTTTCGAATGCTGGCTTGGGAAGCTCGGATTGTGTATATGTATTCCATGGAGGATGTAAGGGGGGCCGCTTTGTGATCAGGATGCTCGCCAAAGGGCGTGTCCTAAGATGGCCATGACAAGAACCCCCTTCCCCGGTGGCAACGCATGTTTTGTTGGTGAGATCGTCCTAACTCTTCCCCTCTCCGTTCCAGAGATTCTTTGGTGTCGCCACCCCCGTCCCTTTTCCAGCAATTCCCCCCCCCCCCACCCGGGTCGAAAGGGGGGGCCCCATATTTCCTACTTGGCAGCTTCCGTGGAAGGCCTCCCCTTTGGCTGGGGCGATGTTTCGAAGGGAAGTGCAGGGAACCCCCAATGTTTTACCGCAAAAAGCCCTAGCCTGCCGAGGAAACAAACAACAAATCCACTCCAGGTGCCGTCGGTCAAGAAGACCATCGCCAAGCCTTGCAAGCTAAAGAAGCAGATCGTGCCAGGCACGCTACAAGTTGCCGCGACTTTCTCTGCGGGCTGCGGGGGCAAATTTGTTTCGAGCTACGGTGGGTGCCGCCCTATGTTTGCAAGTGCACTTCCACACACAACCCCGCAACCATGGTAAGTTGGGATGAATTAGGCGGTTCCTTGTTTCAGATTCCAAGAAACCAAGACAAGATCAACAGGCCATGCTGCTAAACTCTAACAACCCGATTTCTTGTTGTGCAACCTGCTTAGCCAAACTACTTCAGCACCCTCCCACCAACCTGGCTCCTGCCAGAGGATCCCTTTCACAGATGCTATGTTGAGGTGGCAGGCGAAATATAGTGAGTGGCAAGTTTCCCAGGTTGCAAAGATCTATTTACCCCTGTCATAAGTCCACTTTTCATGTGACTTGCAACAATACTTTCTTCAGCCAATCGATCGCCTGAAGTACCCCTATGGGGCGAAGGGTGTGTTCTAAGTTGCAACGGACCCAGCATTGGTGAACCATGGAATGATTCCGTGCCAGTTCCAGTTCCCTAAGGGAACGAGCCTAGAGGAACAACTGCAAACATGGCTGGTCTAAAGGCCACAGTTGCTACATGGTTGTTGTTGGGAAACACTTTACATTTTTGCTTATTGTGGTTTAGTGGTGGAAATCCAACCACTGAACTGCTAAAATCTGAGAATTTGTGTCCCCCTTCAACGTCAACCAAGGCTAGTGCATGATAGTGCGTGCCACCCTTTCTTCATATGTTCGGAGGGGCTTTCAACCCAACCACCAAAGCTCGGTGGGATGGACGCTGGCAGTCTGGTTTTTATGGATGCCTTCAAACAAAGCCCCCGGCGCTCATTGGTGGCGATGTGTAAACGCTCTGAGCAACCAACACCTCTCTTTGCCATTTTGGTAAGTGGCTCTACCTGGTTTCATGGGGAGTAAATGAAACTTTCATAAGTGACAGTCTTGGCAGAAGCAAATGTCAGTCGATTTTGAGCGCTGCCTACGTTTTGTGTTTTTCTTTATACATACGAAAAGGTGAGTCTGTTGCTCCGAGGTTGTCAAACTGTGTGCTGAATAAGGATCTGGACACATTGCTCACTTTACGCATTTCTGTACCTTTTTGTTTTATGTTGGGAAACTTGAAACTGGCTTTTTTGGCCCGCAACAACAAGGGCAACAACAGCTGGTCAGCTGGTCTCCCAAGCTATGGTCATCGAGCATTCGTGACAGGCTCAGTGCTGATTCTGCTGGCGGGGAAGTTCCGAGGAAGGCGCGTGGTCTTTCTGAAGCAGCTGGACAGCGGTCTGCTGCTCGCGCCTTGCTTTGACCCGATTTTTTGTGGAGGGAGCTGCGGATGTGGTTGAAATCGAAATCCATGCATTTCTCGCACCACCCGTTTGAAACCCCAACGATTTTTTTTCGATTCTGCTGTAAATTCCAAGAAACAATGGTTTCAACCATGGTTATTGGATTGACGAAATCCTGCGCCACTTTGAAACCATGGTTGAAACAATAAGGTTTGTTGGTATTTACAGGGGAATCAACTCATTTCCAGGGTTCTTTGGGGGGTGCAGGATTTCGGCCATCCACTGTATCATCCAGAACACGGATTGGAGGTGTTGCTTGTGGATTGCCCTGGTTGTTTTCATTGTTTCTATTTGTTTTAAGACTTGTCGAGTACTCCTTTTCTATCCTGCAGGGGTGGAGCTACACAAATCACGTAACCATGTCCTAGAAGTAAAGAGAAACTCACGGGAATAGTTGCTACTAGTTTACCCCTATTATGACTAAATTTGGTTTAAGGTACCCCACAACCCCATTCTATTTTCCCCTCCCTTATATTGCTTAGCGAATCCCTGAATCATTTCCGGTTTGTGAGTTATGGAACAAATACCGAGGAGGTGTTGTTTAGGGGTGATGAAACAAGCGGCAGATGGAAGAAGTTCAGTCTGTTCCTAAGTCTAACAAACCCGCTGTTGAAAAAAAGGGTATCTCCCTATGAAGAGGGACTCCGCATAATCCACTGGGTGGATGAATCCGGGAAGAGGCAGACAAATGGAGTCCTGCCCAGCAGTTTCAGCGTTCTGTTGGGCGACTTGGCACTGACAGAAAAAAGCCTCTTAAAGAAGCGACAAGATGTTCTAGGTCCCTCACTTCCTGAGTTGATGGACTTTAAACTTTTTGGAAAGACCCTTTTAGTGGGAAATAAAAAGTTCAGACTTTTTTTGGCCAATCAACTTGGGAAGTGAGGTCCATGAACTCTGAGTTATTTCGAGCGGGCTCGCCGAAGCAAGCTTAAGGGAGTCTGTTCTCGGGTTGACGAAACCGAGTCCCATTGAGTCCCGAGTCATACCCATCCCCGGTCGACTCCAGGTGCCGCAATTGATACCAGCCCATGGCAGCCGAGGTCCGTTCTTTTTTTCTGGGTAGACTTGACCGAACTAGTTTGTTGACACAAACAAGTTAGTGGCAACTTGACCAACATCTGGTTCCCTGGGTTACCTAGGCAAAGTGGAACCACTGCCTTAAGCTCCACAGACTTCTTCTGGAGGGTGTGTTTCCATGGGTGTCCTCCTTAGGTTAGTTTGGTTAAAAATAGATGGCACTGGTTTAGATGGGGTTTATTCCACTTACCAGAAGGCCATCCATTGTTTCAAAAGGCCACCTTTGTTTCTCTCTTTGAAAGGGAGGCAACTTGTATTTCCCTTAGCCAAGCTAAGACTTCGAAAAGAGTTAACCCATCAAGTCCACATGGAACCTGTGCACAGGGAGCCCCAAAAAACGCCCTCAGACGACCCCAAGGCCCAAAGTTGACCTTAGGTCACAGGCCCCTACTGCCTGAACGGTGTGCCGCTGAAGCGCGTGAACCAGCGGTACTGCATCGGCACCAGCACCAAGGACCGGGAGATTTGCCAAAAGCCAAGTGCCTGGATTTGTTCCGTCCATTGTACCCCAAAAACCAGCAACCGTGACCGAAAAAAGCGGCAACTTGGCTATCTAGGTGCTGAGATGATCTGCAAGTTGACTTTTGCTCCTTGTGGTTTCCGAGAACCCCGTTTCAACCTTTGGAGCAGGGGATCTGGGAGCAGCCACGTAGCCAACTCCTGGGCCTTTGAAGTACGGAGACTGAAACCTTATAACTGAATGTTGACCCCCTACTAGTCAACCCCAGTTTATTAATACTGTTGATGGACGAAATCCAATTCGCACCACCCAAGAAACCCTGCGAATGATGATTCCCCTGTAAATACCGACAAACCATGGTTTCCCATAGTTTCAAAGTGGTGCAGGATTTCGTCCCTCCACAATAGGGGGGGAGTCCTGGGTTGAGTGGTGAATCATTACCTTGAGCACCCCCATACTAATAAAGTGGAGTTGATTGGGATCAACATTAGACAAAGCATCAAGGGAGATGGAGACATGTGTCCATCACTACGGCTCAGGTTTACTAGTGTAAAGTTTGGAGGGATTGACGCATCACACCTACATGTTCGACTTTTAGCAGATGAACGCACTCAGGAAGTGAGTGCAGCCATAGTCATCACCCCAGTGGAGACCCCTGACCATTGAAGGGCGTGACAGCACAAATTGTGTTGTCCAGATCACACTTGGTGACTGAAGAGAGAACCCCTCTTTAAGGCATTCCCAAAACCAACCAAGGAATCCTTTTTGAGCGGGGGGATTATGTCTGTCAAAAAGTGGCCCCACCAAGTTGGCGGTCAAACTTCCGTTTGGTTGGAAGTTTTGCAGTGCCTAACGGAGAAGTTTTGGCCATGTCGAAAAGCACAATGTCCTTCCAATCACCAGAATCAGGAGCCGTCAATAGGACTGATAAGAGATGCTAAGAAAAACCAGCTGGTCAACTCAAAAGGGATTGAAATTGGTTGGAGCAAACAAAAAACAGTATGAGTCTAGCTGCACTCCCCCGAATCTTTCCAGAGATTCTTCTTCAGATTGGCACGGGGGATATATGGTAGGACAGCTTGAGAAAGGACTGCGCAAGATCGAGAGTTAAAGCCAACGTATCAATCAGTTGTCCTGGCTTGCTTCAAAGGGAGTCCGAGAGGTTGTTGAGGTGCTCTGAGCAAAAATCATAGCGACACCAGGGTATTTGGTTTATGCCAACATCACCGATGAGGATCCTTTCTGGTGGACCCCAGAGTTCGGGTTTCTGATTGTTTGCATTTCACCCACAACCGTTGGTTGTTTGTTTCAGCCGGGAAGACTGGGACGACTACTTGAAAGGGGGCCCAAAATTGCAATGTGTCATGTTCCAGAAGTTTGAAGGAGGCAGCTATTTTAAAGGGAAACCGAAAGGGGGTTGTTTAAACACATGCTTCCACGTTGCGTGTTTCGTGCGGGGTGTTTGTTTCTTCGCTGCTTGCACTTTACGTCTTTGAGGGCTATGTCCTTCCACTTGGAGGTTTCAACTTTGGGGGGCCGAACGCGCCTTTTCTAGTGCTCAGTTGTTCAACAGCCGACCTTTTGGTTTTCCCATTTCGGCACCCATATTTCGTCACCCCAAAAGGTCATCACCTTTTAGTTCCAGGGTCCAATTTGGGCAACTGAGGCTTCCATTCCATTTCCCTTCTGAACCCAGGGATCCGTTTTTCTTGCTAGCAAACCGCCGGGGAATCCCGGGGAACCGGCCGGCTCTCCAAAAGAACGATGGTTGGAAAGAATGGACAAGGAATCAACCCTTAGAACTTTAAAGGCCCCGAAACCCACCATGTGGATGGACGATATCCAATTCGCACCACTGTGAAACCATGGGGAAACCATGGTTGAAACCATTGTTTGTTGGTATTTACAGGGGAATCACCATTCTATAAGGTTTCTGAACGGTGCTGCGACTTGGATTTCGCAACCATGCACAGTACCTCACGCCCAAATCCAAGTCGCGACTCGCAGCTCGCCAGGTGGAGCTGGGGGGCGCTGACTTTAAGTCGGTGAGCGACAAAGACTTCGCGCGGGAGAAGAGCAAAAAGGGCCCCAAGACCCAGGAGCCCCGCGTAGGGCCGTAGGGTGTGTGTGTGTGTGGACGTGGTTGTCAACACCGTTTTGGGAGCCCAGTTTGGGGTTTTCGGTGAATTCACCCGTTTTAGGCTTTATTTTAAGTGGGGATTGGGATGTTCACTGGGGGTACGGGATTTGACCCATGGCCATACCCAAGGGCCCCCTTCCCCCGTTTCATGTCATGTACAGTAGTCGTTGGTGTGGTCCACTTTGGTGTCATAGAATGGGTATGAATGAGTAATTTTCCACAACCATGGCCAATCCGTTCCGGATTGTTTTCTTTTTTTTTCACAATGCAACTTCATCCCGACGGTCTGAGAAACATGTTTGCTTTGGGGGGGGCTCATTTTATGCCAATATCCTTTGGTAGGTCTCATTCTGAGCACTTCTTAGGATAGATCCCATCCTTGGGGTAGATCCTTGTCTAGCAAACCTTGAGTAAGGGAATGAGGAATCAACCCTTTCACCACTATTGTTTAAACAACCTCCTTTTGATTTCCCTTCAAAGGACTCGAAATTGGTTGGCAAAGAAAATGCCACCCCTTTTGTGTGGGTCAAGAAAGGACCAAGTATGTGAAAAGTTGACCGTTCCATTTGGAGGGAACCTGTGTGGGAGCCCTCGATGTTGAGACATGCTGATGGACAGAATCCGCTTCGCACCAGATGGCATAAATGAAGCAAGCCCCATAAATATTGGGCTAAGCCACCAAGCGGTACAGGATTTTGTCCACAGCATGGTCATAGCTTGGGCTGAGCCATCTGTCACCGGGTGCGAAATGTTCACAACTCCTCCACCCACATGAGCAATTGTCAAAACTCGTGTTAACTGAGATATATTTATGCGGCCTCTTTGTATTTGGCGGTGTCTGCGGGATACAAGGAGTTTAGACAGCCACCATGGAAATGATGGCTTCAGCAGGCCATTTATCACAGCCCTAGAATCCTGCGTGCTTTAGGCTTGTACAGCTTGGTCCTCCAGTAGTGCCCCTTTACCCTTTTTTTGGGGAGGGTTCCCCTACTAAAATAGACTACAGAAAAAAGGGTACCTGTATTCTAACCGCACTACTGGAGGACCTAGACAGTCACCTATACGAACGCCCAACAAGAAAAAAAGCGTCGGAATGGATCGGAGCCAATCGAAGTAGGAGCACTTCTTTGCGACGGAGCCGCCCAAGAAGGAGCTGCCACAGGCCACGCTGGGCTTGCGCCAGTTTTTGGAGGGGTTTCAACTTGTTTGGGGGCTGGAAATCAAAAAAGGAGCCGAAGTGCCGTGTTGGGGGGGGGGGGGTACCACTAGTTCGAGATACACCCACATTCTATACTATATGATTATATAGAGCACATCGATTTGTTTGCACCAAAGGCTCAAGACTGCTCGGGCTTATTTGAGGGCGCCTTGGTGTCCATGAGCAATTCTTGCAACAGTGGAACCAAAGGGGATTATTCGTTTTCCAGACCCTCTTTGTCGTTCCCAGTGCTCGTTACTCGGCTTTTTGAACTCGGAACATGTTTAGGTGGTTGAACAGTTTGCGTCTGATTTGTCTATGGTTCTTGCTTAGTGGCGGGCGTCTTTGTTGAGGTTGGACCCCCCCCCCCTGAATGGTGGCGTCCTCTTGGTTTCCCTTGAGAAAAGCACAATGCAGGGGTACCTTAAAAACAAGACACGCCCAGTGTCCGGGAGAAGGACGAAACAGCTCAACATTTCGGCCCGAACAACCGGAGCACGCAGCTTCCCATGTCTCGGAAAGCTGCGGATGCCAAGAAGAAATCCATTTCCGACCAGTGCCGACCGGTTTCCCTTCTTGTTGCGCCCGCATTGCACCCTCCAGCGAGGTCTGGGCACTGGAGGCTCTGGAAAACTTTAACTACAGTTCTTGTTGTTTTTTGTTTGTTGTAAGCGACTTGTTTTTTCCCAAGGCCGTTTTGCGCTCGGTCGATGCCAGCGACATGGCAAGATATGATGTTATCCCGTGACCAACAGAAAGAGGTATATTGAACATGAGCCACAATCAAAACCTGGGTAGATGTGGGTTCACCATTTTTGTACCAGGTTTTGATTGTGACTCACATGGGGAAGCCAGGCTGTTCAAAATACCCCCAAAAGGCAAGTGGATCCAAAGCGAAATTCACGAGATACGGGAAGAGAAGTCGTTCCTGAAGGGCCCCTGAGGGTTTTGTGAAGCAAGAAACATGGATGTAGATGCGTGAACTTGCTGGATGTTAGCTTTTCTAACCCAAAAGGGAATGTAAGCCAAGCACTCACAGACCGAGGCTCCAAGTACCTTCTAAGGTACTCTAAGGACCCCTTTTTACCTCCCTTTTCAGCCATCCTCATGAACCAAGGAAAATTTCTGGAAAAGCTCCCTTGGCCTTTGCAAGGATTCCCCTTGAGAGTGCATTGAATGATTCTTCAGGGCCGGAATTTCAACGAGTCTCAGGCCAAAATTCCACGTGTACCGCCCGAAGGCTTCAAGGGAGGGCTCGTGACCCATGTTGTTTTCAGGCCAACGTCAAGATGGCAAGGAGAGAGAGACAGAGAGAGAGAGAGAGAGACAGAGAGCGAGAGAGAGAGAGAGAGACAGGAAGGGTTGCCTTGGAAGCAAAACGACGTGAGGAACAAGGATGATCAAGCAATGTGGTGATTTTTAGGCAAGCATGTAGAAATGGAGCTATTTACGAAGCCCTTGCTCATTTGGTCTTGGTCCTCGTTGAGCGACAGTACTCCAAATACCCGCCTTTTTCAGGGTATTTGAAGGAAAGCCAGACTTGGCTTTCCATGGCAATACATCCTTTTTGAGTAAAGGGTTGACATCTCTTGGTGGCTCCCAGCCATCCTCTTAGCTTTTAGCCTTTTAGTGTTTAGTGGGGATTTCCATTTCACCAACTAAAAGTTAGTCACTTTGAGCGGGGGACATGAAAACGGACAGCCCAGATCTACCCTGAAAAAGAGGGTATTGCGTGTAGGGAGTGATTTGAATCGAAGGCAAAGAAGGACGCCCAGAAGAAGCTGGACGAGTCGATTGTGAAGGGCCTTGGCGACGATCTGAAGAGCTACCTGAAGTCTCGCTTCTCCCTTTCGGCTCAGACGCTTGGTACAGATCGTTCAGATTGGGCTGTTCAAGTTGGAATGTTGGCCAATCCCAATCCATCCTCCCTATTGACACATCGACGCTTGCGCAACAGGTGGCTGCGAGTCAATTTATAAGGTCCGGAACAGGGTCCGGAACCCACATGCGATCCAGACCTCCGTTCCAGACCTCCGTTCCAGACCTTGCCTAGAAACATGTTCCAGACCTTCCGTTCCAGACCTTGTTTATGTACATTTATGTCTAGAGTATTGATTCAGATGGTCGTTCTTTGTCGGGTGTGCAAGTGCAATGGCACAGACTGAAATGGTGTGGAGCACAAAGAGGGAACAAAGGAGCAAGAAAGAAGAACAAAAAGAAATGAAGAAAGGAATATCGGTGTTCCCGAACTTTGGTTCGGTTCGGTGCGATACGATTCCGCCGCAATCGGTTCGATACGATACGGCAACGGTCCGATACCGTTCTCGGTCGTCACATTGTTTCAACGACCATATTTACATGCTGCTTGCTAGCATTCCAAAGTGCAAGCCACTCGCGTAACCGTTCCAGACCCCGTTCCAGACCCGTTCCAGACCCGTTGCAGACGCAGCGGAGCAATTTGCCACCAAGTCCACATGCACACACACCTGCGCCATGTGAGTAGCTGCGCTTCTTACGTGGCCCGCCACCCAAGAAGCCTTCAAGGACATCATGTGCCAGGGCTTTGGAGACAAAGAAGTCTTTGAATGATGCCCTGCATCGGCTTGCGCATCGGTGGACATCGGCTTACGCCTCCCAGCCTTGCGCATCGGCTGGCGCGGGTGGCGAGCCTGACTACAGCGCATCGGTGTCCCAATGACGCGAGATGGCGGGGGAGGTGATTCCGCGCAACCCTGGTCGCTTCATCCATCCATCTACCCATCCATCCATTTATCCATCCATCTATACACTGGACTCCACGCATGTCTTCCCAGAGGTCCGGAACAACCGACCTTGCGTATCTGACTCGTTCCAGACGTCCGCGTCACCGCGGAACGTTCCACACCAGAATGTTGACCCACACCCAGGTGAGGATTTAAGGAGCGCTTTGAACAGCCCGGTTTGGTTGCAAATTCCGGGAGACCCTTTTAGGGCTGAAACCTCCAACACTACGCATATATGGTTCACGGCTAAACTTGAAACACCATCTGAAAATGCAATTGTTTTCTGTGTATTCCTGATGTGAGCCAAGCTTTCTTCCGACCACAAGCCTTTTTCTGTTTTCGTTGAGCTTCATTTCACCTGTTGAGCTCTTGGCCCAAACATCGGGTTGGTGTTGGACAAGACAAACAGGGTTTCCCAATTGACCCTTGATGTATCAAGTATCAAGCTGACGGATAATGTTGGACCCCGGATTAATAAACCCCTGTTTGTCAATATGGGGGTGTTCCCCTGGATAAATTCCCACTAACACCGGGACAGCCATATAAATAAACAGGAGTTGATTAATCCGGGGTCTACATTAGGGTGGTGCGACTCCACTAAAATTGAAAGACCTCCTTCCATTTCCGAATCCTGGGCAGCTCACTCACTGTGGCGGGGGGCTCAATTAATTCTGAGTTGCAAGCAGATCTTGTCGCATGTGCGCTTTCCTGCACGGTTCTGGCAACGCTCGCCATAGAACCCTGCTAAATGGACACATGGACTAAACCTGCGGTGGTGGTTTAGTTTTGACCCGGCAGATGTGTGCCATTGAATCCGTGCCGCGGAAAGAGTCACGCCTTTGGATCCCTTCCCGGGATAAACGCATGCTTCCCCATCCGTGTTCCGGCAGGAGAATCATGGAGTCCCAACCCCCGGCGTTTGAGCCAGTTCGGGAGAGCTGCGGGGGTGCGGATGTTGTGTGTGGTGTGTCTTGTTTGAAGGAACTGGTTTCTGTTTGTGTGTTAAAGGGAACCAAAGGGAACACCGAAACTTAGTTTCGGGGTCCCCTGTTTTAACACACGCGCTCGTAGTTTTCTTTGCGCGTGAACTTGAGTCTGAGGATGTACCCCCATGAGCTCAAGTTCTGAGATCGATCACATCACATCAGTACCGGCGGCGTGGGCGGAGCGGGAAAACAAACATATATGCACAAGTATATATATATATATATATATATGTATTATAATATATATATATACATATCTTAAAGTAGAACACACACGTAGAACACACATATATATATATAGATTGAGTTTAGTATTCGGTGTTTCATTGCTATTGTGAAGATGCACAAAACGATGGCAAACGATAGGGGATTCTCTAAAAACGACACCCCTGGAAAAGGATGGAAGCGCTGGAAACCGCTAGCGGACTCTCAAACTAAGTAGCGAAACGGCTGTAAGTAAGTAATTTTGACCGTGCCTCATATATATATATATATGTATATTCCAGCGGCGAATTCCCTTTAGCAAAGCCTCATGTTCAAGAACCAAGGACCGTGTTTGGCATGCGTTGGCATGCCATTCATCTTTAGTGGAGTTTCCACCCTCACAAACGCGTGGCCAAACATCTCGCGTGTAAAAATGATGTTCACCAAAGAATTCCCCCGTGAAAAAGTTGCCCTTGTCAACCCATGTTCGTACCCACAGGGTGGGCCTGTGGGTACCAACTCAGCCAAATGCTGAGCTTTCACGCCCAGCCCTTGATTCTTATTCATGAACTTGGGTGCCACATACATGAGGGGGTGAGGGGGTTTCATTCATGAACTTCGTGAGCTTGATTCTTATTGAACTTGGGTGCGTGTGAGGGGGTTCCACATTTGCCACCCTTCAACTGGACATGCCTCAAAACTGGAACCGCGTAGTAGCGCGGAGGTTTCTTCGAGGTGTGCGTTTTTCAATCCCCAGCAAGGGCTCCGAGAAAATCGATGTGGTCCTGCCCCAACGAAAGTCAGAATGTTTCAGGCGTGATGAATCGCTAGATGTGTATATTTATATATAGTGTCGTTCTCTTTTTGCGGAGAATCTACAGAACAAACATCATTTATTGGCTCCCCATGTTTGAAGCAACAACCATATACATATTTGTTTGAGCAAATTTGTGCAACCACACACAGGGGGTTGCAACCTCACGCAAGACAAGGTGTCCATTCATACAGATCCTTGTTTTTGTTTGCTGACTTGCGATGCGTCGGCGATTGCATGTTTCGCCCAGATGCAGGCTAGTATTTCTGCAAGATATGGATGTTACCAGCTATAAGTCGGTGGCTCTTTGCTGTGACTGAAGCAAACATGTGATGCTTTGGATGGTTAGCTGTGTTTCACCAAATAGCAACAAGTGGACAAACTCACCCCGATAGTTCACGGCCAAGTGACGCATGCCAGTGTCACACCAGTACGGCATCATACGTAGCCCATGGACACATTGCCATCTGAACTGCAAAGACAAACATGCGGGCCTCGCTCGTTGGGAACGGTTGCACCATGCAGCACAGGATACGTGCATCAGGCCAACCGTTTGGTGGGTTTCTAGTTTCACAAACAAGCGTCGGGTGACACCAAACTTGGTGGCTCCCGGCCATCCAGTTCCTTAGCTTTTTAGCCTTTTAGTGTTTAGTGGTCTGAGGGTTTTTGTATTACACCCTGGATTACACCCTTGGGAAATGACCCAGAATGGTTCAAAATAGCACGGTTTTTATCCGGAACTGTGCCTAAATAGGGTCAATACCCAGTGGGTGTATTCCCAGGGTGTAATACACAAATCCTTAGAAGTGGGCATTTGCATTTCACCCACTAAAAGTTAGTCACTTGTCGCGGGGATCTGCAAACGGACAGCCCAGCAAAGAGGTTCCAACGCTTCCCGAGCCCAGATGCCTCAACTCAATCCAACGCTGACCTGCCTCGCAGAGGTTAGCGCCGGGTTTCCCTGGCCCGAAGCCAACATGTTCGTCTTTTTCTGGTTTGGTCTATGTCCAGTGATTGGCCCGAAAAACACGGCTCAAACTCACCAAACCTGGGTCCATGGGGGGACCATGTACACATATATATATATATATATATATGTATACATATATATATATATATATATACTATATATATATTATGTGTATATACTGTATATATATATATCACCTATGCAACGACACTGGCTCAGCTGCATCTCCGGGGGCAATGGACTTGGCAAGTATGACCAGGGGGGCTTTCCCTTCCTGGCACCAAGCGTGCCCCAGAGATACTGAACGAAATCCGCTTTCCAGGGTGAAACATGATGAAAGCGTATGAATCGGGGCTTCTGAAAAACAACTATATTTTGAAACCATTTGAAACATGGCTTTTTCCACTAAGATAAAGGGAAACCACTGAACTGCTAAAATCTGATTTGTTTTGCTCCCCTTCCAACGTCAACCAAGTTTAATTCTTGTTGGAGCCACCAACAGCGGCAGATTCAATGGACACCACCGGGAAATCGATCGACTTTTGCAGGGCTCCTAAATGATCTCCATTTTGCAACCACCCATTTGAAACACGTGTTGCTTTCTCAACACCAAGATAAAGGGACACCACCATGTACAAGGCAATGTTCAGGTGTATAATGTGAGGATCCCTGTGAATACTGGTTGATAAACTGAAGAAAGCCGACTGGTCATGGATCTCGTCCATCCAGTGTGGCTGAGTTTGGAGTTTAAACAAACAACGTTACTGTACCGGCCCCCTAGACCCGGGAAATCATTCACCTCCTGCCAACAAACCCAGAATACGAGGGGAGTTTCCCTGCAATGTGATGATCACAAAGATGCCGTACTTTATCAACATACTCCAGGAAGATGTTGTTTGATGTAGTTCCTTCGAAAACAGAAGGAAGATCTTCTACTTGAAAATCTACCCGCCTTTTTTGCACATCCACACCAAGCAACTCCTCCCCAGCCCACCGGCCACACCCCCCGCCGAAACCACCGGCCAGCGGCCATGGCGAGCCCCCCGAGCCCCGCCTCGCCGGGGAGCTACCGGGCGGAGTTCCGGCAGCTGCGGGCGGCGCTGCTGCAGATGAAGGAGGCAAAGGTTCTGAGCCCAATGGTTTTTTGGAGTCTCCAGGTGTGGCTTCCCGTTGTTGGATTATTTTTTTTGGGGGGGGAGGGTGTGTGGCTGGTTTTTTTGTTTGAATTGGTTCCCCTAGAGTTACACAGCGAGCGTGGTTCTCTCTGAGTTGATACCCCTTTTAAGGAGTGGTGAAGGGACAACCAAAAGGGCACCAACGCAACGATTGCAGGGGTTCCCCTTTGAGAGAAACCTAACAAAGTGACGCCACGAAGTAGCAAGCTCAGGCAGCAAAAATGTGACGAACTACAGCAAACCAACTAAAGAATCAAACAGACAAACTCAAGCCAAGAAGCCAAGAAAAAAGAAAAAAAACACAAACCAATAAGCATAGAAGGAAAGACACGGGCAATGCGTTTTCAAAATTCGAAACCACTTCCAAAGTGGTAGAAATCCCCACCCACCATGATCACAGAGGACTCCTTGGAACTGACAAACAGAACCGAGAAGCACAAGCGCACACCAGGGTGTGGGTCAAAATGTTCAGCCACCAGAAATCGAACCGCAGGTTTTAGTCTTTGGTTTTTCAGGAAACCAGGGCGGGTTCCATTTTGGGGTTACCCGATTTTTGACCCACAGCCACATTACAAAGAGATAAAGTCGAAAGGTCGAAGAAAAAGGCGAGAAACCAACATCCCAAAAGGATCATCAAAGCAACGACTAGTTCAGAATCCAGCAAGCATACCAAAAAGAACACAATCAAGACACCCAGCCACAAATGAAACAGACACACTAACAAGAAAAACTAGCAAACACACCAACAAGGAAACAAGCCAACCAACAAACCAGCCATCCAACCAATCGGAACGATCAGATTCACAAACCCACCCCACCCCACCCCACCCCACCCCACCCCACCCCACCCCACCCCACCCCACCCCACCCCACCCCACCCCACCCCACCCCACCCCACCCCACCCCACCCCACCCCACCCCACCCCACCCCACCCCACCCCACCCCACCCCACCCCACCCCACCAGGAGCAGACCGCGTTACTGGACTGCCTGGTGCAGAGCAAATTGCTGCGGCCCTGTGCCTTTGCGGCCTCCTTGCACAGGCGCGCGGCTTCGGCTTCGGCGGGAGTCCTTCCTTCTGCCCTCGGGCTTTCAGGCCGTTCAAGTCCTATTTGCTGTGTTTCAGTTGTTGAGCGCGAGTCCTTGGGGCAGCGTTTCCTGCTTGAAGAGACGCTGGAATTCTTCACTTCTCCAGTTTCTGGTCGAGGTGTGCAAGGCCAGTGACTGTAGCGGACAGAAACGGGGAAATGGGGAAGCCACGCTGCGAGGCTGGCCGCAAGTGGAATCTGGAAATTGGTGACCCTTTGAATGGGTTCCAACAAATGGGTTCCTGCTGGACCATAGTGCCACTCTCTCTGTTTCAACTAGTCCTTTCGCAATTGAATCTTTAGTGGGGAAGCCGGGATTCTCGCTTATTCTGTGTTTGGCCTCTAAACCGTTTGGGAAGACAATCTAAGGAAGTGAGCCTTGAAGCCACCAGGAGGTTTAGGATGGCATAGGCATGTTGGAAGGCATGTTGCAAGACCCCTTCCAATTGGTGTTTCCCGCGAGGGAAACGGAATCCCCAGTTGCAATGGCTTGGCCGATCTGGATCCCCGGCGCGCCGAGACGGGCCCCCGCGTGAGAGAAGTTGCAGGCAGGTTGCATGGAAGCCCAAGGAACCCGCGGACCAAGACCCATGCGGCGTCAACTGGCAGTCTTGGAAACAGAGGTCAACGCTTTGCACCTCTTGCCAGCGTCGGGTTTTTCTTTGACTTGGTTTGACCGAAATTACCCAGCTCCACTGTGATATTCGAGACCTCCCGCCTGTTTCTCGGAGATGTTTTTGGTCATTTGGAAGGCCTCGTGGCTTAAATTCCGATCAGTGTGATGTTCTTCATGTAAAACTCTCTCCATTTGCCCGGGGTCGACCTTGCACAAAGTGTGGTGTTCCAACGTTGGCCTAGGTTTAGGCAAGGTTCCAAAAGGTAATCCCTTTTCTTTTGTTCAGGTCCTTCGGTTGCAAGTGAGATGTGCTTCTATCTCTCAATTTTAGCCACGAACCAAACACCTTTTCTCCGGAAAATTTCCCCCCCGCAACTCGCAGATCAACCCTTGGATCCGGCACACCTGGGAGTATGGCAAGGTGTTTTTGTTTATGTGTTTGCCATCCATCCCTCCAAAAAAAAAGGCCACCGGTTCCGAAGCCAACCCCCCCCCGTATGGTGGACACTGAGGGTCGATTTTTTGCCACCTCCGTCTTGTAGAGAACATGTGTTTTTAAGGGTTTTGTGGTGGCAAAATCGACTCCAGGTGTTCATGGCACTCCCCCCCCCAGCTGGCGAAGGTGTCAAAAGGTCAGGGGCCGCCCTCGCTCCCAGCTGGCCAGCTGGCGCCGTTCCGTGCGCGCGTTCCGTCGTCCGGCTCCGGGGCCTCGATCCGATTCCTCGCAACATGTCTAGCCGCGGTTTGGGAAAATTGAGGGCACCATAGGGCACCATGGATCGAAGTTCCCAAGGAGAACAAGAGCGGTTTGTTAATTATTCCGATTATTCCATCCTCCGTTGTGCGTTGAGAGGGTCACCTTTTTTCTTCTTCTTATTTTCCGATTATTCCACACTCCGTTGCGCGTTTAGAGTTTAGAGGCTCACATGAACATGATTTCTTGGAGGTGTGAGCTGATGGTTGTTTCTTTTCCTGATCTGATCTCCTATACTTCCCCCCAATATTTCCAGGGAGCCAAAGGCGCCAAACACACCAATCCGTCACGAATTGCTGCGCCTTTTTGCACTTCAAGAAACCAGTTCTCCATGTCCATGACCCCATGGGTAATGACCAACCCTTTTTTGCAAGGGTCGGAAGGAGCCTCTAGGAATCCACCAGAACCAACAAAAATGAGAAAAAGAACAAGAGAAAAAATAAAGTAAAACAAATCCGCCGCAGCCCTCCGAAGAACACCGAGCCCGCCGCATCCCCTCGCCTCGCCGTCAAACTCGGCTCATCGCGTCAGGCGGCGCTTCGCGGCGGCGCTGAAGGCCTCGCCCTGCAGCTTCGATGCCAACCTGCTGGACGTGCTGGAGGCCCAGCAGCGGCCTCCCGTTTTTTTTGTTTTTTTCTTTTTGGGAGTCTCCAGGTCCTGGTGTCCCGTTTTTTTTGGTTCTCCCCGGGGGGGGAGGGTGTGAGCCCTTTTTTTTTGGAGGCAGGTGTGGTTTCCCGTTTTTTTTTGGGTGGGGGGGGGAGGTTGTGAGCCCATTTTGTTTGGAGGCAGGTGTAGTTTCCCGTTTGTTTGTTTTTTGTGGGGGGGGAGGTTGTGAGCCCAATTGTTTTTTGGAGTCAGGTGTGGTTTCCCGTTTTTTTTGGGGGGGGAAGGGTGTGTGGTGATTGCTGAGCAGGGTTGTGGGATCCCTCGGGCTTCTCCCTGCTGTGATACCAGGGGTTTCTCCCCCTTTACTCAGTTGTTCAGTGGCACCAATTATTTTTCCCCTTTTTTTGGTGGCTGCCCCACTAAAAATGGTCTTCCCCAAAAAGGGTTCCCTTTTGTTCCAGGGTCACTGAACAACTAAGTTTAACAAAGTAGTCTTTGAGAAGCCCTTTCTGTTGTATCACAGAAGTGGTCATTCCTCACAGCGCTGCCCAGCAGCGCTTGCTAGTCGAGAAACGATGAGCGCCCAAACACCCGGCCGGAGAGGGCCATTTCAGGAGAATTTATTCGGGTTTAGAGTAAGGCCTACCTGGGTGGCTTGTCTTGCTGGTTGGGTATGTCCGCGCTCGCAACCACCCGCAAAAAAAAAAAAACACGGGCCATTTCAGGACGTCTATCTGGTTTCGGGTTTAGAGCAAGGGCTAGCTCGTCTTGTTTGGAGGGTAGCCCTTTTTCGGGATGGTCCGAGCGACGCAGTTTTGGAGCCCCCCTGTTGTGAGACGCGCCCACAGAAGCCAAGTTACCACCATGTAACACCTACCCTTTTTTGGGGTTGGCTTCAAAGGGACACCACAAGGGAAAGTTTCCTCTAAAAAGAAACAAACACGAGCCAGGCGTATAAGCCATGTAGAACCAAGAGTCAATCGGGTTTCTTGAGCCGCTGCGGAGAGAAAAATAGGTTTCCCTTACAAAGTTGGCAACCCCACCCAATGGCATAATGGCATGGCTGCCTTTGCCCAGAAAAAAAGAAAGAAAGGGAAAACAAGAAAAAACCGACCGCCCCAAAATGGTGGTCCATATATATATATATGTATAAATCCTGTGGGTGGAGTCTTGCGCCTTGAACTTTGCTTGGAACACGTGGATTTATGCCGAACCAACCATCAAAGTTCGCTTCTGCAAGCTTTTGAAACAGTGACTTAAGCATGTTTGAATGCAGGCCCAAACCTTGCCCTACGCTATTTGGCCAAGGTTCCAAAACTCAGAAGTTCTGTAGTTACAGTACTGCACCTATGAATGCGTACATGGATAGACCCCTTACAAACTAGTGCCTGGAGTGGATGTTAGTTACAGCACCTATGAATGCATACAGGGAGTTGTTGACCAATTAGACCAACTAGTGCCTGGCGTTTTCTTTTGGTCCATCCGCCGCATGGAAGTTTTGTCAACATGTTTTTTTTGGGCACAGCCACAACCGTGGACCAGGTAAAGCTACTCAGTCCAATTCGACTCGACCTTATATTTGGGGTTGTCATCAAGCCTCCAAAGCTTGGCCGTAAGGGTTGGTGACAGGGATCGGTTTCTATTCCCTTTCTGGCGGATTTTCAACATGGTGTTGTGTGAGCTGCCCCTTTTGGTGAGTCCCGATTCAACACGAGGTTGGATGGACCTCTTTTGATTGGACAGGTTTGTGACTCCGGAGCCAACATGAAGTAGAAGCTCCAACCCTGGCTTATGCAGCCAGTTTCCCCAGTTAGAAAACCTTAACTGAGGTGTTCTAAGGGGGAAATGCTTCGACTCCCCCGTAAATACCAACAAACAATGGTTTCACCCATAGTTTCATTTTGTGGTTCGAACGGATTGTGTCCATCCACAGTATTAAACGGGGTTGTTCCCTACTGATGCCCAGTGGATCCCAGTTAGCATTATAGTAGGCAACCAGCTACCCTCCTTTTGGCTTTAAAAGGGTGTGTCTCTTGGTTTCCTATTGCAGGTAAATGGATCCAGTAGGGATCCCTGAGTGACTTTAGGGGGTCCCCCACACCCCGAGTTGCCTTAGAAGTGTCACAAGGTCATATTTTGCGGCCCCAGAATCCATGAGGACCCTTAGGGTAAGAGGACATAGGGATCCTCATTCTAGGGTTTCGTGGGTGGTGTGACATGGATTTCGATTTCAACCATCCACAGTATTGCAGGTACCTGAACCCTCAAAATTCCCTTAAAAATGGGGTTGACCCCCAAAATTATGGGGTGATATCCCATTCTTATGGGTAGTTTGAGGGTCCAGGTAAATGGATCCAGTAAAAATCCCATGGCTTGCTTTCCAGACCCCGAAGGAGCCAGCGCACATCGCCCTGCAGACCGCGCGCTACGGCGGCACGCAGATGATGCACGCACTCAAGGCCGGCCAGAAATTTGCGAATTTGGCACGTCCGAATCTTTGGCGGGGCCTGGCCTTTCAGGAGGGAATGTTGAGCAAGAAGGCTTTCCTCATTGAGAACCAAGAGCAACCCATTCCATGTGTGTGAGAATATGGTTGCTTTACCCTTGTTTTCTTTTAAAGGGAATCTATCACTACTGGAAATATACGTTTTTGTTTTTCTCCCGCATGGGGGCTCAAGCTTAAATGGAACTGTCTGGTTGCTTTGGGTAGCAATTAGCCAGCCTGTGAACCGCGATCTCAGCACAAGACTTGCATTACTTGCTTGCTGGGTTCCTGAACTTTATACTCTTTGGGACCCGTAGCATTTCAGTGGTATGCACAAACATGAGAACTTTCTGGGGCCAATCCACTCAGGCAGTGAGTCGAAATCATTGCAAGTCAAATTTCTGCTGGTTCTAGGATATCAACACCAGACAAGTTTGTCTTAGAGTCCGGGAACTCTCCAAAAGCGCATTCCCTTTGATGTTCCTTCGGTTTCCCCTTAGAACAATGTTAGACTTAGCTTGCCTTTCCACTTTTTTGCCCTTTTGGTTTTCCACAGGGGATATCAGGGGTCCCTATGTTTCCCCTTTTTGGTGGTTTTCAACATTACCTTTTTGGCCCATGAAAGGTGAGCGTCCCTTGGGGTGATGCTTTTCAGGGGAAATAGACAGCAACACCGCCGGTCATATATTCACAGCCATCACGTGGAAGGAGGCCGACCTGGCAGCCAAGACACGCCGAGCCAAGAATGCTTTGCTCAAGCATAGTTTCGCTATAGACGAGGAGCTCGGACGCAAGGCTTACTCTGGCTCTTTGCCTCTGGACCAAAAGGAGCCTGGAAAAGACACAAAGAAGAGCATTGAGACTGACCAAGAGGTGCAAGGAAAGCAAGATGAGGCAGATGAAGAAGAAGGTGAAGAGGAGAACCCGGAGCAGGATGAGGAAGTTGAGATAGACATCGACTTCGCAGCAGTGGGTTGGTGTCTCCCTGACTGTGGATGGTTGAAATCACGCACCACCCGTTTGAAACCCAACGGTTTCTGATGACTCCACTGTAAATGCCGACAAACATGTTTTCAAAGTGGTGCGAAATGGAGTTCGTCCATCCACAGTATGTCCAGTAGTGATAGATTCCCTTTAAAGCCCAACATTGAAAATAAAACCGTATTCTTAAGCAAATGGGAGGTTTGCCTCCGCACAAACATCCATTCCTCTTGGATCCATGCTTTCTTGGTTCGGGCTTCCGCAGGCCTCCTGCCGCTCAATGGCCGGCAAGCTGGCAGAGCGCCGGCCCGCCATTCAGGCCAGAGCTTTCGTTTTGGCTGGAAAAAAACACGGAGACGCCAAAAGGAGACGCCGTGGCCGGTGTTTTTTTTGGGAGGAAGCCCCACTTCATAGCCTTCTTGGTTTGGAAAACAGGGGACGCCAAAAGAAAGCCGTTGCCCAATGCAGTCCTGCAACCATTGCATATGTTCCCTATCACTACTCGTTATCATTCCAAATACAAGAAAGTGTATCTTGTGAAAAAAGAAAAACAATGTCAAAAGTCACGCAAACAAACACACACACACACCAAAAAAAACAAAACGGAGAACATACCCCAGTTTGTCGGGTACCCCGATGGGTGTCCTGGAAGACCGCTCGCTTGAGGCTTGTCTCAGGTTGGACCCAAAAAGTTTCATAGATGGGTGTTGTGTGTTTTTTTCTGTTTTCTTTTTCTCGGGTCTCCTCCCAAATTATTTGTACATGTCTCACGGTTTAGGGTGGACGAAATATGAGATAGACCGGCGTGCCCGAAATATAGGCAATCCTTCTCCCTAGGGAAAAAGCTCTCCCAACAGATCGGTTTTGGGCGTTCCCCTATCTGTTTTGCAGGTTGGTATCCGCTTGGGGCAGTCTACCGGTTTCTGGTGCTATTGTCAGGCATTAACATCTTAGGTGGGTCCCAGATACCGCAGAGGTTTTTTGTTCAGAGTTTGCAGGGTAGTTGGCTTGGTTGCCTGCTACCTTGAGCTCCTGGAATGTAAGCTTTTCGGGAAGACCAGTTTAGTGAGTTGCCGAAAAAGCCTGCTTTCTTTTGCCACCACGGTCCCAAAGAAAGTTGGTTCTACCATTGGCTTCCCGTTTAAGAAGCCACCCCAACAGTTTTTATATATATATATATATTTACATACATATGCATATGTATTCTTGTTTGAGGGTACCCCTTTCTGGTGGCTTGAAAGGGAAACCAAAAGTTGAAAACCACCATATACCACCATAGGGGATTTCAAGACACATATGACCCCAAATCCCTCCGTCGCCGCGAAAAGGAAGCGCTCACCTGGCTGTACGTGTGCGGCGGCAGCGATCACCAACAGGCGCTGCGGATTCGATCGATCACATTTCCCGCGATCGGTCGCCCTTCAAATGTTTCTTCCATTTGCTGAAATGATCAGAATTATTGACATTTCCTTGCTGGTTTTGAAAGGGAATCTATCACTACTGGAGACATGTGGAAATATGTGTTTTTTTCCAGCGGGCTGAAGCAAATGGAAGGTTTGGTTGTCGTGAAGCAGAGAGAAACGAGACATTGGCGCCCTGGAGAACTCCTTTTGGGTGTCCCGATATTTTAAGCCAAAAGGAGGTTGCTTAAGATAGAGGTTTAAACGTGCTTAAACAGGCTTGTTGGACCTTTGGAAGATGAATGGCAACCGAAACCCTGTTCAATGGCAGCCAGAACTATATGCTTTGTTTCGGCAAATGCTTGTTCAGGCGACCATCAACCGGTTCAAATAAGCGCTCCAAGTTTATGAGGTCTTTTTGTGGGGTAGGTGATAGGTGTTTCTCAGGGATCTAAGGGTGGAAGTACATACCCCTTGTTCATATGATTCATGGCTTCCGTGGTTTCCAACCCACTTTATAGGGGGTATATACCCCGTATGAACATCAGCAGGCCTCTCAGGGGTCTCATTTGTCCAAGAGGGTCCCTTGGTACCTGATGAGGATGGCTCTTGGGGGGAAAAAAGGGGTCCTTAGAGTACCTCCTTAGAAGGTACTTGGACCCTCTCATGGTTGTTGTTGGGAAGCATTTTACATGTTTGATCTTCTTGTGGTTTAGTGGTTGAAATTCAACCACTGAACTGCTAAATTTTAATTTGTTGCTCCCCTTCAACGTGAACCAAGTAGTCGTGCTGGGATGAACAACATCCACGCCAGTTGGGATTGGGTCTCATTTGTCCAAGGTATATAAAAGGGGTATGTACCTTGGCACTGGAATTTTCCAGGTGCGGAGCTCGGTGGAGCGCCTGGACCCCTCCTCCGGCCAGTGGGAGGCGGAAAGTAAAAAAAAATGCCCGAGGAAATGGGCGCCATTGCCTCCAGTTGGAAAGCCCTTGATAGTGGCACCAATTCTTTGTCCAACTTTTCTTTTTGGTGGCTGCCCCACTAAAAATGGCCCAAGCCCCAAAAAGGGCTCCCTTTTTTTCCAGTGTCACTGAACAACTGAGGCCCTTGATGTAGGTTCGTTTACTTGGGCATCAAGTATTTCAGATTTTGGACATATTGTAGAATCTGCAGATGGCAGGGATTCTCTACATCACTCAGTGGATATGTACGCAACACAGGCAAGTTTATGAGTGACCCTTTCACCATGTGCGCATGGTTCCCTGACCTACAATGCCCTTTGCCAGGCGTTTTCTACAGTTCATTTGGGAGGGACATGGGGTTTTCTCAGCCAAGTGATCGATGTTTTTCCCGCGAGACCCAAAAGACTTACAGCCCAAAGCAGTCTAGTCGTGCCACGGTGCCATAGGCAGAGAATGAGAAATGGACTCGACCATTTCCTATAAACCATCCAATTGGTGGTTTCCTTTAATGAAATGCCCAGGTTCACTCCCACATTCCATACCTATCGCACCAGCAAGTCAAATAGGGGAACACCAAAATGCTGGTTGCCGCTGTGGATTTTCTGGCCCTTTACCCTCTCCACATGGAGCCTGACCTTAGGGGTCCTGGAAGACGACTTTTCCTTGGGACCCTCTGGTGTGTTCAATGTTGGACGGAATGGCGAAGGGGGGTCCACATTGTGCGAAAATTCCAACTTTCCTTTGGTGTGTTCAATGTTGATGGACGGAATTGCAACTAATAAGGAGAAGGCGGTCCACCATTTGCGAAAATTCCAAGTAGCAAATGGGTGACTGGCGGTTGTTAGCGCTTTCCTGGCGAAAGGGAGCCGTCGGCCAACAAATGTAAGCTTGGGTTCCTGAAAAAAAAAACAGGAAAAAAAGGGCGTGCTCCATGTGGAGTTTGTGTGTGTGTGCGCGTTTTGATTTTTTTTTGAGAACAACAAAACTCAAAGACCATGTTTTGTTTGTTTTCAGCCTGTGACATTGAAAGAGGCCCAGGTTGATCCGGTTGATCCGGAGGACATGGAGGACCCTCTACCCAGCTTTTTTGACTCCTTTTAACGAGCAAAATAGGGCGGTGTACAACAAGCAAAATGAAGGTTCCAATATCACAATTTGGGACCCTCTATAACGAAGAGCGGGGTGTGTGCACGCGCGCAGACACCTGCACTTGCTGTTGCCGTTGGGCCTGATCCCCCCAATGAATCAGCTGCGCCCACAGAGGCCCCGTGCGAACTTGAGTGAGTGAGTGAGTGAGTGAGTGAGTGAGTGAGTGAGTGAGTGAGTGAGTGAGTGAGTGAGTGAGTGAGTGAGTGAGTGAGTGAGTGCGTGCGTGCCTGCGTGCGTGCGTGAGTGAGTGAGTGAGTGAGTGAGTGAGTGAGTGATATAAGCACTGGCCGTTGGCATGACCTGATCACCTTGCAGAGAATGGGATTTGGGCATTCACGGAATGGCAACCTCAAACCCATATTGCAAAGAGGGGTTCCTTTTGACAAAAGGAACAAACACCCCAAAACCCGTGATAACATCCAAACCCGTGATTAACGGGAATCTGAATTTTGTCTTTACCAACCCAAAAAAGACTTCGCCCCACGCGGAGGCGCTACCTCCCATGCTGCAGCGCCGCTTCGGCAACACCTCCGCGGTGCTCGACGGCTGCCTGCGCCCGGCTTGAAAAGCAGACGTTCGAGCCGTAGACGACGGCGGTTGTTCCCTACCCATAGGGTCCAAGTACCTGATGAGGATGGCTTTTGGGGGGTAAAAAGGGGTCGTTCAGTACCTCATTAGCTCCTTAGAAGGTACCAAGGGACCCTGGGCTACTGGCTACCTGCAGATGGATCTGGGATGAAAAAAAACACGCCACTTTGAATTGGTGGTGCATCCTCCCTTGGGATCGGTGGTTTTGTTTGTTTGAGGGTAGCTTGGTGGGGGAGGGTTGCGTGCCTACCGTGCCTAGCTCAATCTTGAGCTCACTCAGAACAGGGCCCTAAGAACAAGAGAGATCCCTCCATGTTACTTCCCAAGTTCTGGACTTTCTACTTGTTGGGGACGAACATTTGACTGGCAAATACGAAGTTTGGTGTTGTTCAGCTCGATCCAATCACAGCTATGGATGCCTTTTGAACATCCATTCAACTGTGAGTTTCCACGCGGTGTGCCGTTCTAGGTACAGGCTTTGGCGTTCCAATCAACATCCTCCTTGCGGAACTCACCCTTGGCATGTCGCTTGGGCGGTTGTAACACAGCTTCACTCCATGTCCTTTTCATGGTTGTTGTTGGGAAACATTTCTGACATTTTTTTCGCTTATTGTGGTTTGGTGGTTGAAATCCAACCACTGAGCTGTTTTTTTTTTTTTTGCTCCCCTTCCAACGTCAACCAAGTTTGTTTGGAGCCACCAACAGCGGCAGATTCAATGGACACCGCCGGTAAGTCGATCGACTTGTTCAGGACTCCTGGAAAAAAGATACATTTTGCAACCACCCATTTGAAAAACATGTGGCTTTTTCCACCCCAAAATAAAATAGGAAGCCACCATTTGCAAGTTGCAATGTTCAGGTGTATAATGTAAGGATCCCCGTTTTTGATGGAAATCCAGTGACCCCTGCAACATGGTACGCTTGCGGAAGCAGACCTTATTTGACCGCCTTCTTCGGCAGGTTTCACGACTGCTCCGGGTGGACTTTTGCCGATTTTTGCGCCTGTACGTGTTTAGCTTGATTTTGTGGCAACTCAGTTGAATCCAAAGCTTTTGGGTCTTTTGTTTTCTGCTTTTTGTGGGTCTACAAGCTTTGTGGGTCTTTGTTTTGTACTGCCGTCTAAGAAGCTGAAAAGGGGCGTCCCTCGTCCCCCGCCGCGGAAGGTACGTGTGCGGTGGCTCGGAGGACCACGTCGCATTGAACTCTGCGGAGCGCTTCAACCCAGCGCTAGGCCGCGTGATACTGTGGATGGTTGCAAAATCCATTTCGCACCACCCAAGAAACCCTGGAATGATTGGATTCCCGTGTAAATACCAACAAACCATGGTTTCCCATGGTTTCAAAGTGGTGCAGGAGTGCGTCCATCCACAAATAGGGGAAGAACAGGGCACTTCTTGGTTTGTAGATTTTGGTTGCAGACAACCCTCAGTTGCCCAAAGGCCTCAGGAAGGTTACTGTAGCCTTGTGAGGGGCTATGAGTAAAAATGGACCAAATCAGGGAAACCAAAAGGCCAAAAGTGCAGCTTTGGGCAAACCCCTTCCACAAGAGCAGGAAACCAGGGCACTGCTGGATGTCGGTACATTGCTGCGCAGGATCCACTGGGGTAGACTAAGATAGACCAAAACTGAGGACGTGTTTTGGGGGGAGCTTATGTGAACAAGTCAACAGGGTCCCAGACCTCCAGCGGTCCTTTCCAGTTTTTGGGTGACCCTTGGTTCCAGCCATCCGCTTCCTTAGGTGTTTGGGCTGTTTAGGGTTTAGTTATGGTTTTTCTCATTCAACTAGAAGTTAAACTGCAGATCTGGGAGCAGCCAGCCATCCACCAACCAACAGCTTGCCCCGTTTGGGTCCGAGACTTTTGGCTCGCAAGAAACGTTGGATCATCCTTCCCATGGCTCCGATCAAGCTCGGGTGAAAGTACTTGGTTTGGTTTGTTCGGGCAATACTGTGGGTTGCGAAATCCATGCAACGCACCACATAAGAAACCCATCGGAATGATGCGATTCAATGTGTAAATACCAACAAACAATGGTTTGCCCTAGTTTCCAAGTGGTGCAGGATTGCGTCCATCCACAGTATTATTTCTGCAATCCGATCGCCGGCCCATGTTAAACAAACATGTGGCCCATTCCACCTAGGATAAGTTGGGCATTTCATCGGGCGTTTGGTGGTTGCGACTTGGTCTCCATTCATTCGAGTTGGTGATTTCATGTTTACTCTGGTTTCGACTGGGAATGGTCACGTGTGTTTGCCTCTCCTTTGACGTTTCGCGACTTAAACAAAGGAAGACGATTTCATTTCCACCTCTGCGATCAACTGCTAAAATTTGAGGTCAGTGAGCTCACCCAAGGAGGGTAAATGAAAACCACAAATTAGTTGAGATGGGCTTCGTCGCGAAATTGGGAGGCCCCTCTTGTTGTTTTGCTTGGTTTCCATTTGGTTTCCCTTTGGTTTCCCCTGTAACACATTAGAATTTAAATGCTCGCTATTGGCCCTGTTGCTTTCAAAGAGGGGCTAACACTGGCCCCTTTTTCATGTCCCATTCGAAGGCTCCGGCTTGAATTTGTCTCACATGATGTCCGTGTCTTCATTGGTCACCCCTGGCAAAGCTCGTTTCTCTATCTAGCCAGACGTATCATACTATCCTACCTTTGCCTTTTCAGTTTTCCTTCATTTTCCTTTTGCAACCCGAAACGATTATCTACCTTTTGGGGCTCGTCATCAGGCCGTTTTCGTTGTTTTTCTCCAGCCTCCCTGCCAGGATCGTCTTTTGGTCTTCCAACCTGGCACATCTACCTTTGGGGTGCTCGTCAGGTCGTCTTCTTTTTTCCGATCGGAATAAGATCTACCTTTTTCTTGGTGGTTCGCAGCCATCCTTTTAGCTTTAAATATATATATATATAGTCTATAGTGTTTAGTGGTATTTCCGTTTAACCCACTAAAAGTTAGACTCACTTTTCGCAGATCCGAAAACGTGAAAACGGACACACCAACTTTTGGGGGGTCCGAGTGCCAGGCTTTTGGCAGCCCCTGGCCCCCATGATCCTCCCCCGGATCCATTCCTCTGCCTTGGCGATGCACGGGCGGCTGGTGCTCTGCGGAGGCCCGAGCGGTGGCGCTGAATTCTCCTAGGGTTTGCCCTGAAATGGGTCTCTCTTCTTTTTTGGGGAACCCGAAAATGGTGGTTTCCCTTCAAAGCCAAAAAATCAAGGGTCTGCCTGGGCCTTTGTTTGATGGTTTGTTGGATGAGTTTAACGGAACACCAAAAGGATAACTTCTTGTTGTTTTTCTTTGGGGGGTTCTCTGAAAGAAGGACAGACCCAAGTACCAATCAACGGGGGTCCACCATTTGTGTTTGAAGCTCCAAAATAGCAATGTACAATGCAACCACCAGTGAAACACTTACCTGAAAGCTTGGGTCTTTGGCCAGACAGGTTCCGGACGTAGTCGGAGCGGCTACGGGCGTTTTCGGGTTTCGCAAGGGTTCCAGCCGTTGCTATTGGTGACAACACTCGGGCTTTTGCAACTTGTTTGGAGGGCTTTCCCTTGCAAGTCCACTTCCAAGCCTGCGCTGCCCTTGTTGAAACGGTTTTCCCGTTGAGGTGAACCACCAGGTGCCCCTTAAAGAGGAGACCGCTAGAACCGGCCCCCAAAAGCGATCAGCCCCTTTTAGTTGCTACTAGCCCCCAAAGAAATTGGCGGGAAATCGCTTGGCGGGCCCTCGGCAGCCATGGAAACTGATGGTCTCGGGCGTGCGAAACACTGGTTTCCTTTTAGGGAATCCCCTTCTGGTTCATTCCTAAAACCCGGAAGGTCATTCTCCCTATCGCACCCGCAAGTTTTGGAGGCAAATGGAAAGGCGAGATGGGGGTTTCCATATTGAAATCTGTGCAGGATGGTTGAACTATGCTCACAAGGCACCTCACCAATGCGGACGAGTCCGCCAACATTGGAAAGCCCCACCTTGGGCTGCGTTTTGATTCGATGGGGAGCCCCCGCCCAAAAGGGTGGGGACTGCGAAAGAACGGCTCGATTGACAGCTTTCTTGTCTGGAGGGGCATACATCATCGTAAATCATGCCCTCGTGTTCTGGTTGGTGAGTTAGACAGTACACCAGTTGAATTTGAAAAGCCTTCTGTTCGGATGGTGAAGCAAAGTAACATCATGCGAGGAATCCTCAGTTGGGTGAATAACAAGAGCATCACTTTAGATCGGGAACCCTCACCTTGGGATCTAGATCGGGAACCTATCATCCCGTGTCACCAGATCTAAGGTGGTTCCCATGCTTTTGACTCGTTTCGAAATTTTCGCGGTGGTGCACTTGTCTCATGTTCTAAACCGTCTAAAGGTCAGTGCTGTCGAAGCCTTTCGGGCGGTGAATGCTTATGGGTACAGCTCGTTTGGCAGGCCACAATCCTGCAGGGTCGGGGATTGAGCGGCCCGGCATTGGCACTGCAAGACGGGGCGGGGGCGGGGAGGGCAATTGTCGTAGCTGATATGAGGTTTGGCGAGAAAGCAGGTCGTCCTCCCATACTTTCCTGGAGATTCATTCTCCAGCCTTTTCCTGGGCGTTTTAGTTTTCTGGTAGTTTTGGGCATGTTGGGCGTTCTAAGTGGTTTCTAGGAGTTTTGCGCGACCCCCGAGCCCAAAAAGCGTCTTTTTCTGATTTGCGGGCGTTTGCGGGGTTTTGCGGGCGTTTGCGGGCTTTTTGCGGGCGTTTTGCGGGTAATTCTGGGCGGGGAAGACGTGAAACCATACCAATTCTGAAATCTCACAAAAATATAGGAGCTTTAGTAGTTTTAGGCGACTTCACGAAAAAAACATCGAGATTTACGAAAAGCAAGTCAAAGCCGAGAACTACCAGGAAATTCATGGAAAATGAATCTCCAGGTTGAACCTTCAAAAGCGGCGATTGTTTCAATGGACACCACCAATATCAGGTAACCCTTAGTTGGTTTAGATTGGTTGCTTGGGGATGTGGACCCCTGGGCTCCTGGTGGGTAAATGGGAAACCACTAAATTACCTTCCAAACCACCAATCCAAATCGCCAATTAGAGGCCCAAGGGAAACCAGTGACCCCATAGGCCAAGGCTCGCTCTTTCTCATACAACAAGGTATTTGTGTGTCTCAGAATAGTGGTACCCGCCGCCAAAAAGCCACGGCTGGCTTCCCTTTGCCTTTCTTCTGAAGTCACTAAAAAGGGTTCAAGAAAAAAGAAGGAAACTACCTGTGTGTGCAAATAGTTTCCAGCGAAGCGATCTTTGCTACCTTTGGTCTCGCTGGGGTTCACTAGTTACGGGGGTAGTGCCCCACCGGTCCATTATCCCCAGAATACCGGCTTTTGCTATTACTCGGGCTTCCCTGTTGGACAAGATCGGGATGAATGAAATCCGATCTGAATGGTTGATAAACCACCTACCATCCCACCCACCGATAGCCCTACTTAAGGGGGCGATCGATTGGGTAGGTCAAGTAAGCGGTTAGTAGCCATGATTACAACCCACCTACTGTGGCTGGACGAAATCCATTTCGCACCACCTAAGAAACCCTGGAATGGTGATTCCCCTGTAAATACCAACAAACACTGGCTTCAATTATGGTTTCAGTTCGTGGTGCAGGAGTTTTGTCCATCCACAGTACTAAACGGTTTGTTCCCTACAGATGCCCAGTGGATCCCAGTTGCCATAGTAGGTTGCCATGGTTACAACTGAGTGTGGCTCAAAATTAAACGATCGGAGGGGCAAACCGCAGGTTTTGGTACCCATGTTTCCTCTTACCAGGGTTGCCAACCCATTTTGGGTACCGGATTTTTGAGCCACAGCCAACTCACCGACCGATCGTTTGCTGTTTTTGTTGGGTTTCCCTTCGCGTCCCCAGGAATCCCCGAGTCTCCGTCTCCCAGGTCGATCCGCGCCTGCGAGTGCTACGACCCCCGGCTGGAGGCCTGGCTGCCTCTGCCGCCTATGCCCGGGACCCGAACGGCCCGAAATGGGCGAAATGGACCTGGGGACCCCGGGACCCGGAAAGGAGAGCTGCGCGCGGCGGGGGGGGGGGGGGGTTTTGGCGGCTTTGAATCCAAGAATCGCTCCGAAATCCGGAGAATCCCAGGTTTTGGGCATGTGTGTGTGTGTGTGTGTGTTGTTCATTGGGCGAGCAAAAAGCTATAATTTGCAGGGGGTCTAAGTGAATTATAACGACCTCACACGACCGAATTCACCCCAAATGCTGGTTTTTATGCGGGGAAGAGCCCCTGAACCACCTTATTTCGCTTATTTCAGGTTGGTGAATTTCTAGATTTTATAGTTCACCCAGTAACAGTCTACGGCACAAGTGTTGCCTCGGAGCGCGTTTTGCCCCTTTTTCTGGGACCGATCGACCCGTGCCCAGTTCACCCCCCTGGAAACGGGATCCAGCCAAGCGCAGGCCCGCCCCAAAATGGGTCGCCGTAATGCCCCAAAAAGGGGCGCCTTCCAGTTGGCGAAATCTGAAGGCGCTTGGTGTTTCCCTTGGCGGTTTGAAAGGGAATCTATCACTACTGGATGGTGTTTTTTTTTGTTCAGGGGGCATAAAACCACATGGAAGTGTTCCATGTGTTTACTACCAGCTCACTTAAAAACAAAAACATGGATTCCAGACCAACTCGACCCATGATTCGCAGGGCTTTCTCGTCAAAGGACACCATCAATTTGGCGCGTCTGTTTTTTTTTGGGGGGGGGCCAACAGGTTTGGGGGGGGGCCAACAGGTTGGTTCTTCTTTTGGTGTCCCTTTGAAGCCACTCCAACAAGGGGGGGTGGGTGTTCCTCGAAAATGAGACACCCAATCGGGTGCCCTTCAAATCTGCGGGTCTTGGGACTTCAACCCACCCCACCAACCCACCAAGCCTCGAGCCAACACAGGCACTGTCGAGGACACCCAGAACCGCCCAGCCAAAGGGGGACCTTCATTTCCATGCGGCAAACGTCTTGCCGCTTCATTTCAATGCGCGCAACCGGATCGGATTCCGAGGCCTTACTGGCGAAGAACCAGTGAATCGACCTTTTTGACCAATCCACCATGGTGGTACAGGAGACGCCACCGGCTCTAAGCCACCCCAAGGAACCAAAATAAACCGAAGCCGGGCTATGGGAGATGCCCTCTGTGTAATGGTCTTCCCTGGTTGGGCTACCCTGTGCATTCGAGGGAAGCTGATATGCCTACCAGTTTTTTTTTTTTTCAATGGGGGACAGTTTTGATTTCCAAAGACTCTCTAATCGAGCAACAAACGCACTCCCGGTTTTCCAGTTTGCCATATTTTTCCCTAGGGCCCCTAGCCAGATTGTACCTCCTATAAGGGGACCAACCGCCAATAATCCTGAGTCCTGCCCTTTAAACTTTTTGGGGTTGGACTATGCTACTAGCACATGAAAGTGTGGAGTGGAGGTCCTGTTTTTGGGCCAATCCACTCGATCGGTGAGGATCGGGGTCAGTTTCCTAGTTTCCCCTTTTGTTCCTTAGTGCCCCAGAGTTTTCTTGGATGTATGTTTTCTTGGATGTCCCAAAAACGCCCAAGTGAAGCAAATCACACCCAGGTCTTCTTGGATGCATGTTTTCTTGGATGTCCAAAAGAAAACGCCTAAGTGAAACAAATCACACCCATCTAGGGGTTGATTCCCCATTCTTTTCAACCATCGTTCTTTTGAACAACCAGCTGCTTTCCCAGGTTTTTGGGTTCTAGAAAGAAGGATCCCCGGAAAGTATGGAAATGGAAGCAACCCTTAGAACCCAGGTCTTCTTGATGTATGTGTTCTTGGATGTCCAAACAAAAACCCTAAGTGAAACAAACCACACCCAGGTCTTTGCCGTTTTTCGATTGGCCCCCCCCACTCGGGTTCAACCGAAAGAGTCGGGTTTTCCAGGCCCTACTGCCGCATGGCCGCGTGCCTGGCGCTCCTCCGCGAAGTGCTCCACGTCTGCGGGGGCTTCAACGGCCGCGAGGCGCGAGGCGCGAGGCGTGAGGCGCGAGGCGCGAGGCGCGAGGCGCGAGGCGCGAGGCGCGAGGCGCAAGGCGGACGCCCAGACGTGCCGAAGGGCTGGGATCTACCCCAGTCTCCAAGCACCTCCAGTTGCTTTATGTTTTTTGTTTTTTTCCCCCTGTTGGGTTTAAACGGAATTCATCACTACTGGATTATTTTTTTTGCTGGGGCCTTAACCAAATGGAAGAGCATGGAAGTGCACGATTGCGGGTTTCCGCAAAAGAAAAGTCGTCTTCCAAAACCCTCCTGTCAGCCTCCATGATTATTCGAGGGAGGGTACCTGGTCGATTGCCTCCGTTTGCTTTTTGCCCCCCGGAAAAAGAGAGAACACGTGTCCAGTATCCCTTCAAAAAGAACATAAACAAACATATCCCTTCAAAGAGAACATAAACGAACATGTGAAAATAAAACATATTCATTTCGGCAAATGGAAGATTGGAACAAAGGATAAATATGTCCAGTAGTGAAATCGACTCCCTTCAAAACAAACAGGGCGGTGAAGGATGGTTTAAGAATCTGTTGATCGACTTGGTCCAACCCTGAAAGCAAGCGCAGAGGCATGTCACTGATATGTGGTTTCAGATCCTTGTTGACGTCCCTGTGTAAACCAACAGGGGGAAGTAACAAGAATTCATTTCAGCAAATGGAAGATTGGAAAAGTCATGTTTATGTGGGTATGAGTTCAAATTGAACCGCCCGAAAACCGAAACTTCTGGTTTTAGTCCTTGTTTCCATTTACCAGGGCAACCCATTTTGGGTTCCTACTTCTCACCCACAGCCGTACGGGGGGGGGGGGAGGGGTAACCTTTTTTTGATAGCAAAGGAAAAGCCACATTTGCTTGTATATTTACAGCTGGTCTGTTGGGATCAGGGTTCTGTTTTTGGACTAAGGTCGACTTCCCGCGAATTGGTGTCCCCTTTGCGGACATAAACCACCCCTGGGTTTAATTCTACTAGCTGGTCCTGGGATAACAATATCTATATCAATCCTTGCCAAGTTGGTACCAAGAGGCTCACAAGCTGATGTTGGCGCTTCATCACAATCTGTGTGGGGGGGATAACCAACAATCGTGGAAGCTAACAGGAGGGTTTTGGAAGCCTATGTTCCTTTTGGGCAGGCCCCCTGTCCACTTCCATGCTTGTTGGGAAGAGGGTGTCATTCAAATCCATCTAGTGCTTTTAAGCGACTTGAAGCAGCCCTTTAGCATTGCAGCTGGAGATGTCACAATGTTCGCTGCTAGCTGGAGCAGGGAGTCTTTAAGGATTAGTTGGGCATATGACGGTATATGTTTTTTGGTGCCCTCTAAAAGCAAAACAACAACACAAACACAGAGCTGTTTCTGATGGTAGAAATTCTTGCAGCTGGTGGTCAAGGTTGTTGAGAACGCCATGTTGTTTGAGAATTAGAGCGTGATTCATTGTTCTATCAGGCCCCAATTCCATTTGTTATTCAAGGGGACATTGTACGGTTAGGTGTTGTTAGAATATTCCGAAGTTCATGAAACTGAGGTATGTGTGTGTGTGTGCTCGCGTTTGTTAAACTGGCTGAACTTTGGAAATGTTCGTCCAAACTGACTGAACTTCGGCCAAGCTTTTTGCCTTCAGAGGGAATTCGCGCAGTTTGTTTGTGAGGCCTTAAGCTCTACGGAACGCCTGGTGGTGGAGTCTGGGGGCTGGCAGGCCCGGTTTTGCCGACCGAGCTGAAACCCTCCCACTTCCCCAGTTAGGGTCAGAGACTGGGGGGTATGTCTTTCTAAGCTACCACTTGGGCTGGGGGCGCGGGGGGGACTTTGAGAATGGTAATGTTGACCCCGGATTAATATACCCCTGTTTATTAATATGGGGGTGCCCCTGGTTTTAGTGGGGATTCATCACTTTTGGAGTGGAACACTCCCATATTAATAAACAGGGGTTTATGAATCAGGGGTCAACATTAAAGTGATGGGGACAGTACCACCCATGGCAAGTGGCCATGCCCAACGCAAGGCTTGACCATGGCACACTTGACAGGGGTCCCTTATTTTTCCTCTTTTTGTGTTTTTCTCCGGCAGCTTGACATGACTCATTGGCCTTATTTTAGTTGAGCTTTTTCTTGGAGTGATGTGTTTCAGAGGGATCTGTGTCCCCTCCTGAGAAACTTTCCCTGAGAAACCAGTAAGCAAGCAACTCGGGGAGGTTCCTGTGAAGCATATTCGTCACGGTTGCATTGTGGGTTGGGATGCACATTGTCGCTGAGCAGTCCCAAGCACCGCTGAGTGAGTGACTGAGTGTGTGTGTGTGTGTGTGTCCTTTTAGGGGACCCACTTGAACTGGTCTCAGTTGTTCAGTGGCACCAATTCTTTTCCAACAGAAATGTTCTTCCCCAAGAAGGGTTCCCTTTTTTTCTAGGGTCACTCAACAACTGAGTGGTGATTTGCTTGTTAGCATCCCTTAAGAACCAGGGGGCACCCTCAAAAAAAGACAACCCCGCCATGGTTTTGGAGAATGTTGACCCCAAATTAACCAACCCGTCCTATTATTAGGGGGATGCTCCTCCAAAAGTGATGACCCCCCGCCCCCCGCCCACAAAAAGGGGCGACCTGATCAGGCAGGGGGTTATTCATCTGGGATTAAGCTTCGGCGCTTTTTCTACCAAGTGTTCATTCTGTCTCTTGTGATCATGTCAAACATGGCGGCTGGGGTTATTGCTCAGATGGTCTATCATTGTAGGAGGCCAGCTTTGGATTCCTGGATGCTCTGCAAAGCTACTGTTTGCCTACGTTGGCTGCCAACAGTACCTGAGTGAGAATGAACATAGAACCTACAGACTTAGGGAATGGTTTCTTGGTGGCTCCAAGGCTTTTTGGCCTTTTAGTGTTTGGTGGTAGTTTCCATTTAACCCACTAAAAGTTGAACTTTCAGCAGGGGATCTGAGGGCAGCCCAGTTTGAAAAGCAGAAAGAACAACAGAATTCATGCATGTGGTGATTCGAGATTGCTTAGGTCATGGTTTCGGGAAGGGAGGAGTTCCAACTGGCAGTTTGGCATGTTGCAGTTTGGCAGGTCCAAGTGGTCCTTTGCAGAAACTCCTGGAACCCAAAACGGGGGTCCCCCAAAAGGAGTTTCCCCAACGAAGGATGGTGTGTTGGGGGTTCCACAGTGCCACTGTGGGCGAGTAAGCTAAACATTTTCGTCTGGAAGGTGGTGGGAACCCAGGATGAAGACAGCCCTAATTCATTCAGGGCCCTATTTCGGAGGGAATCCTCGGGCCCTATTTCAGACGCTTTGACACACGGCCTGCGAAGCTCCTCTGCCGCGCTGGGGTGGATCGGTGGATTTCCTGTTGGCTGGGAGGTTTGCTTGCAGCTTCCGCGCTGGGGTGGATCGGTGGATGCCAACTCAATATCCGCAAGCCACGGGAAGTTGCTGGATTTCCCTTGTTCCCCACTGGCAATATTTGGGGCATCCACCGTAGCAAAGCTTACACGCGCAGTATCGGGGGTGTGCTCGCAACTCCGGCTGGTTCAATACCAAAACTGAAAAGGATAGTGACTCCAACAAAGACGCTTCCAAAGGAATACTCCCACAACTAAATATGGTTGCCCGTCTCAATATAGGGAAATGTCCATCCGAGCGGTCCTGTGCTTTCCTTCTCGCACCGTTTCTATCAAGGGCAATGCAAAGGCGAAACGGGGTTGCGGGATACAATGAAAGAAAATAGGTCCCCCAGGCCCCCAGTAGTGCCCTTTGACCCTTTTTCGGGGAGGGTTCCCCTACTAGAATAGGCTACAGAAACAAGGGTACCCTTATTCTAACCTCTCTACTGGAGCACCTGGAACTAGAAGTTGCGCGGGGGTCACCCGCTATAGCCCTTGTCCTTGTGAGCAGTTGCTTGGAGCATCCTGGGTTTTTGGGATACTACTGCAAGCCAAGCGTATCAATCTCTTGGGTTCCAGGCCGTCAAATCGATTTGTCGCCGTGCCTTCCCCACTCTGTAGCCCAGAGGGTCCCTTGCTACCTTCTAAGGATGTACTCAGACCTTTTTCCCCCCCAAAAGCCATTCTTGATGAGGTACTTGGACCCTCCGGGTAGGATTCTTTTTGGAGATACCAACCCCCCAACCCCATACAGCTCGAATATTTTTGCCGATTTGCCAGCCGCACCCCGCGCAGCGCTCGCAACGCTCGCCGCGCAACCGCCCGGCAGGCGCTGCCGCCGATGACGGAAGGCCGGTTTTGGGCGGCCTCCTGCGTCTTGGACGACTGTCTCCTGGCACCTCGTCCAAGCGCGTCGAAACCTCCGGTGAAGACGCGGCCAAGCACCGGACCGCTGCACCCGCCATTGGGGCCGAATCGGTGCCAGCTTTCCTTTGGAGATGCGTTTGAGTTGGGTCAGTAAAACGTGAACAAACAGATAGCTTTCATTGATTTGAAGCATTGCATCAGGAAGGTTTATCCATGAGAGTGTGGTTGGCTATTTTGACTTTCAAAGCTATTGTTGGGGCAGTACAAAAAGATGGTGCTAGAATATCTCCTAGCAGGTGATTTGTAGAACGTGGAGATGAATGAGTTGACCCCCTTGACGATTTAAAGTCGAAGTATGGCGCTTTCTTTGGCAAGGCGTCAATCGCAACATACGGGCCTTGCGGAGCTGACACTAGGCTTTCAGAAACGAGCAGCAGCATTACTTCGACCTACAAATTGGTTGTCTCCACATGTTGGGCAACCTCCAAGTTGGTTGGCCTTATTTCAGACGGCGAGAGTGGTACCCTCAAAAAGGACACATGACTTGTTCCTTTTTGTTGAACTTTGAACTTGCCCCTCCAAATGGTGGTTTGTTGGTATCCCACACTCTCCTGAGAATCATGGAAAGAGCCAGCGTTTTGAGAGGAATCTCCTGAAGGGCCCCTTGCTTGGGGTCCACGTCAATTTGCAGAGGACAGGCGCAAATGAAGTTGTCTCAGAATTCAGGGAGCCCCGAAACAAGGGGGGGTTTCCTTTGAGTTCTCTCTGGAGCAACCCTTTTGCGGAGCTCGGGAACGTGAGGGTTTTCCAAGGACCAGTCCACAGTTTGCGTGTGAGGTTTGTTCTGGCAACAACGGCCAGGAGGCTGGGCAGTCGCGGCTTTTTTGGCTCTGTTGGGCCCGCAAAGGATACCTCACAATCACTAGGTCCCCCAGTAGTGCCCTTTGTAACCCGTTTTTTTGGGGGGAGGGTTGCCCTACTAAAATAGACTACAGAAAAAAAGGGTACCCTTATTCTATCCTCTCCACTGGAGGACCTAGATCAAAACCCGGGAATTGGAGACTAGTAAGGGGCAAACCAGAATTAGTTGCGGCCGCCTTCTGAATTCTTTACATGGTTCCGGGATTGCGCACATTTTCATAGCCAAAACGGTTTTGAGTATGGCTCACCTGTGGGCAGCTAGGAAATAGCTTTCAGCTGGTTTAGACCCAGTGGCCCAGTGGCGCCCTTTTGTTCTTTTGTTTGGCGGGCTCCCCTTTCAACTCAACCAAAAATGCAATGGCACGTGTGTTTTTTTGCATGGCCACTGGGCATCTGAGAAGAGGATGTCTCTTGGTAAGAGCCATGTCGGTTTTAGGATGCATTCTTGAAGGAACACCGCTTCGCATCTCTAAGCTCCCCTCACATGTCAAAGAAAAAGCCGAATTTGTTTTTGAAACTGGTTGAGAGAGGGTGAGCAGTTGAAATGATGTAACCTGCATGTTTTTTGTTGTTGTTTTTTCCCCTTGTTCAAAAAGGAAGCTTCGGGCTGTGGGATGAAAATTCCAAGAAGAGCCTGTGAGGCATGGGCAACTCAAAGACCGGAAGTTTCCTGCTTGTTCAGGGCTCCTTAAAAGATACATTTTGCCCATTTGAAACATGGCTTTTTCCGCCAAAATAAAGGGACGCCACCATTTACAAGGCAATGTTCAGGTGGATAATCTAAGGATCCCTGATGGTTTCCTTCCGGTTTTGGTGGTTTCCTTCAGACCCAACTCAAGACTTCCCGGACTCTGGAATCTGGAAATCTGTCTCATGCTATTGGCTCCTTGCGAGGGGAGGAGCTACAACTCCTGGTTTTGGCAAGCGTTATGTTTTTTTTTTTGGGGGGGGTACGGGGCTGCAACAACCAGTCAGTTTGTTTGATTTAAGCCCACACTGTGGATGGTTGCGAAATCCATTTCGCACCACTTTGAAACCATGGTTGAAACCACAACCTGTGCTGGTATTCCCAGGGAAATCGAATCATTCTAGGGTTTCTTGGGTGGTGCGAATGGATTTCGCAGCCATCCACAGTCCCATTTGGGGTTCTTGTGTGTGTGTGTGTTTGTTTTTTTTTGGGGGGTGTTCATTTGTTTGGGGGCTGCAACCACCAGTCCATGAGGTTTTTGGATCCAAGCCCATTGGGTTTTTTGGTTCAGACCATGAGGTCCTTCTTTCCACGGAGCGCTTTGATCCCGTGGCCTGCGCTGGGGCCTTGGGGCCTCGGAGCCTTGCGAATCGGACGTGTTGCCCGCGCCGCATTCGCCGCATCCGGCCGACTTTTTGGTGGCGTGCTGACGGGGGGGGGAGAGACGAGGTCGCTGTGATGTAGGTGCTTTACTTGGCTAGGTCCCCCAGTAGTGCCCTTTTACCCTTTTTTTGGGGGGAGGGTTCCCCTACTAAAATAGACGACCTGAAAAAAGTGGGTACCCTTATTCTGACCTCTTTAGTGCAGACATTGTTTAAGTGTGTCCGGCCCTGTGGTGCTCCTTTGAATGTCCCCTAAACAAAAAAAATGCAAAGAAGGCACATGCGGTTGTGTTTAAAGTTTAACGATTGCCATGTGTGTGTGTGTGAATATGCTTGCTTGTTGCTGCTGTGTGATGTGTGAGCAAATATTGCTTCAAGCCTTGTAATTGAATACATTGGTTCAAAATGGAAGGCTGGTTTCCCTTTGAACACTGAGCAAAGTTTCTTTGAACATGTAGCAACTGACCAAGGTTTTGCCATCTTGGTCAACCTCCCAAACGAAGCCTTGGTCACTTGCTCCAATCATGCAGGGATACATTTTGAGTGTGTCACTAAAACACGGGAGCTGCTCAACTGGAACGGGCCCACTAGTTGAACCGTGAGCCCAGGTGCCGCAAATCCGGGACGAAAGGGTTGTTGGCATTGTCATAAGCATTGAAAGTGTCTTCCCAAACGCAAAATGCAGGGGGGCCAATGTCCGAGAGGTAGGATGAGGTACCGGTACGTAGGGAGACCATTTGCCCGTGGCTGGCCCTTTCACGACCGAAAACGAGGTCGGACCCTGGCGCGATACCCCTGCAGCAATCATAAAGCCTAAACACACGTAAGATAAATAATTACATCACACAGGGAACACATGTTTTGACCACTGTTTGACCGTCGCTCATTTAAAAGGTTGAATTCCCGGGCCTGGTCTTTCCTTTGGTTTCCCTTCAAAGCAACCTCAAAAGAGAGTCAAGCGGATGTTGACTCTTCTTTTCTTTTCCTGTACAACGACCATAACAGAGAATCAAGCAAGAGGTGCCTAATTTTTCTCTTGGGTTGCCCTTAGGAGCGAATCAACCGCAGTGGTTTTGTTTGGTTGTTCCTCCAAAACCAGACATGCCAAGTCAGCCTTGCCTTTGAGTTGAGGTCTGGGAAACGCTTCAGCCGATGCAGAGGCGGGGTACAGGGGGTGATGTGATTTTGCTCTTGAGCAGGTCTTATCTTTGGTGCATTTTTCTTGGATGTTAGGACTTCAACTTTGTGCCAACGAATGGGTTTTCCATTAAATCACTCAAAGTTAAACTTTTAGCAGGGGAGCAGAAAGCAACCAAGCTATTTTCATGGGGCCAATGTAAAAAGGACAACCCACTTTTTGCCATGAAGCTTGCTCAGGAAGTGAAGGCAAACCTGGTTGAAAAGTTTCAAAACCCCACTTCTTGACATGAAGGTTGCTTCCTGGTAGGCCCTTCTTTCGGGGTCTTTCGTGTGTTTTTTTTTGCACTTTTGCGCTTGGAGGCCCAAAGCCAAACCTTTCTTCTAGGGCTTGATTATCTTTGCAACCATCGTTCTTTAAACAAAAAAAGCAGATCCGTTTTCCCAGGGTTTTGGGTGGTGTTTTAGAAAGATTCGGATCCCTGGAAAGAATGGACATGGAAGAGCTACCCCTAGAAAGCTCCCAGAGGAAGCTTGGTGAGCCAAGGTACAAACACCGAACCTCAGGAAGGAACCCCCCTTAGAAACCCCCTTAGATATTTACCCCCTTAGATGCTCCCTTAGAAACCCCCTTAGAAACCCCCTTAGATACCCCCTTAGATACCCCCTTGGAAACCCCCTTAGAATGGTCACTCCTTCTTTCGGGGCAATGTTTTGTTGGACTCCCGAGCCGCCTACGGCGCCGAAACCGCCTGAGGCTCCGCACCGGCGCCGCGGCCCAGGTGCTGGCTGGACGCCTCTTCCTTTGCGGAGGCGCCGGTTTCGCTTCGTTCGGACCGCCCGACCGGAGCACTCGGGTGGGTGCTTTGAGGGGCACACTCCCGCCCTGTTTGGTGGTTTTTGCACAAAAAGAGCAGGAGGAACACCAGAATTGAGGGTGTTCTTTTTTGAGGGTGCTCCCACGGTTTTTGGTGGAGGAAAGCGGGAAACCATATTTTTTGTCACGGTGCCGGCGGTCTTGAGGGGTCTTGAGAATCCTGATGGGTTGGTTTTTGTTGGGGTACCTCTCCCCGTGTTGGGTGTTTTTTCAATGGACACCAAGAGAAAGACCAGGGTCGCCAAAAAAGTCACACCCATGTCAAAGGGCAAGGTCAGAACACTCGGCATGTTGAGCCTTGAACCCTCTCTTTTTTGTTCACCCCAGTGCGCCAGTGGACGTGTCATCTTTTGAAGGGGGTGGCAAGAGGAGCCCTAATTTTGACACCTCGATGTGTTGTTCTTTTGCGGCAGTTTCAAGATGAAACTTTCAACAGTGTGCTTGTACCCGCTACTCCAAATAATTACCAACTTTTTCTAGGGTATTGTTGGGGAAACCTGGTTTTTCAAGGTAAATACTGTCTTTCACCTCTCTGTCAAGGCTTCCCAGCGACCAAATGAGCTGGTGACAGAGAGGAGGTGAAAGGTATATAAAGAAATAATGGGTCACTCCGGAAGCAACTTGGAGGAGATAGAACCATTTCACGCCATTGCAGCTCCCGTCCGTCCCAGACGTAGGAAGAGAACGGATATGAAATTATGAAAGAAGCCGTCCTCAGAAGGTGGGTGGTAAAGAGAAGAGAGATAGAAAATTGATTTCTTGTATCTGGTCCTTTCGTAATAACAAATCTGTATCTTCTTTTTATTTACCTTTCCTGTTTTCATTAGAAGTAAATAGTTGGATTCAGAGATTTCTGGGTGTAATAACTTCTGGAATTCCATTCTGAGATCCTATTCAGCCTCTCTTCTTTATACCTCCTTTTTTCGTAGAGGGTCGACTTCTGATACCCTAAAACCCGAGGGGTGGGCCTTTGGCACCCAGCACTGGAAAACCGAACACCGAGACCCGGCGCCACCCGAAGCTGGCCACCCGAAAGATGCTCAAAGCAGCTGTGGAAGCCTTTGAAAGGGTGTTTCATCTGGTCATGGTTGTTGTTGGGAAGCATTTCTTGATTTTGTTCGCTGATGGTTTAGTGGGTGAAATATCCAACCACTGAACTGCTAAAATCTGAAATGTGTTGCTCCCCTTCCAACGTCAACCAAGGTGAAACATACTGTCCGTTGCTCACATGAGTCACTTGCTCAAAACCGATTCGGGTAGATGAAGGTAAGGGACGATTTCAAAGAGTGAACTGGCAGAAAATCCGGCTTCTAACTTCTTGAATCGCATGGTTCTGGGATTCCGACCATTCTAATTCCCGGGTTTTGAGTAAGTGATTCACATCGTGGGAAAACGGTTGGGTCTCAGCTGGGTTGGAAGGGAGCCCAGGAGCTGCAGGCAATTCCCCCAGTTGCCTTTAGAAAAAGAGGGCGCTACGGAGCTAGGAGCAGAAGGACCTGGTAGCCCCAGTCATTGGCATTTGAATTTCAGGACCTGGTAGATGCAGGTACCCAATTTGCCTTTAGAGGGCGCTACGGAGCTACGAGGAGTAGGAGTTTAGCCCCAGTTGGCATTTGAATTTCAGATCGAGGTTTCTGTGAGCGGCCGAAAGAGAAACCTGCCAGGAATCAGTGATAGAGTTGCCATGCTACCAGGAGCTATGTGCACTGTTAGCTTGAGTAGTTTGGATGGTGTTTCATTTTGTTGTGTTGTTACAGTTTTCACAAGAAACCGAATGCGCTTGGATAGACCTGCTTGGCGAAAAGCAGGTGCTCACAGAAGCCAAACTTGGGGATGCCCATCCAGGATGCAAACAAAAACTGACTGGGGTAGACTTAGGATACATTTTACATTTTACCAGTGACTCAAAGTCAAGCAAACAATGAAATGAATATTCTATAACTGCGCCTAAGTCTAATCATGCTGAGTTTCCAGTTGTCTTGCTGGTGCCCAGCAGGGAATGAGGGAATGACCCCGATAAGCACTCCCTATCGTTTCCTTTGAGGGACACCCGAGGTTCATTTCCTCATTCCCTACTGAGCACCAGCAAGTTGTCTGCTATTGGACAGAGTATCTCTTGTCCGGGGCACAAAGTGGAGGACAGATTCAAGTAAACACCGCATATATGGTACTCATATACACACCAAATGAAAGAACAAGCCCTCAACAAGTCAAGAAGCCAAAAAAGGTGGGTACACATTCGTTTTAGCTTCTCCTTTCTTACCCTCCATTCCCAAAGGATATGACCCTTTAAAAATGGTTAGTCATTACCCTAATGGGGTCATTTTGATTCGGGTCATGGAGACTCCAGGCACCAGTTTTTTGCTGGGAGGGGGAGTTTCTCATGGGCTGGAATCCTGCGCTTCAGGCCACGACCAGAATGGGGTCCAGGACAGCGTGGAGTACTTTGACCCGGAGATGGGCGCATGGAAGGCATCGCGACCGTTGTCCAAATGGGCGTGGCGCCGCCCTTTTTGAAAGGACGAAAAGGAAACCAACCATTTGTCTAGGTGTACCTTCCATTTCCATTCTGAACCCAGGGATCCTTCTTTCTAGAAAACCTCCAGAAACTGAGGGAAAACGGCTGGTTCTTGAAAAGAACGATGGTTGAAAAGAATGGGGAAGCAACCCCTAGAATCTTGGGGCTCCTAATTTTGAGATACACCCAACTCCGGCTTGTTTGACCTGTTGACCAGCTTTCGTATGGTCGCCAAGAGCCCCCAAGAAAGGCTCTTAGAAGCTTAGAAGGGTTCTGAGACCATAAAGGTACACCTTTCAGTTCCCAGTCCCTTGAGAAGGGCAAGGCCTTGGTATTTTTCGACTCTCAGTTGCTAAGTCTAAGTTGCCTTCAAACTTCCTGGTTTTTCGTGGCTTCCCGCCAAAAATGTGAATTTCAGAAAGGGGTCCGTTGCGGGGAGTTGGTGGGGGGGGACAAGGAAAATGCGACCAGATCCACTTCACGGCTGAGGGCCAAAGCTCGGAGTTTCTTTTTCTGCAACCTGAGTGAGATGTTTGGTGCCGTTGTGCCTGGCGCAACTTAGGATACATACCAGTGACTCAAAGTGAAACAATAAAATATAACTGGGCCTAACTCTAATACTCCATACTCCTTAGTCCTTGGGGTTCCGAAAGGAATTGCTGCTTAGTGGTTTCCGAATAGGGATGGAGCATCGGGATTTGGCCAACACTCCGTCAGGGTTTCCTTCATTTCAAAGGCAACCTTCAGAAGTGACGATCGTTATGCAAAAGAACCACCAGTCCATTGATCAACTTTGGATTTGGGGATATTTTAAGCAGCCCCCTGTTGAACTGTGAACTCCTATATTGGCAGCAGCGAGGAACACGCCCTTTTCCCTTCAAGCCGTGGGCAAGGCTCTCAACCTTGCCTGTAGCCTCGTGTGATTAGCGCGTGACCTTCAGAACCGTGGACTCCCCCACAAACAAACAAAAACAGTGGCATATTCCAGGCCCCCTGTTAAACTTGGAATATCCCACTTTTCCAGGCAGCCCCTCTTGGGGTTTTCCCCCAGCCAAGCAGACCACCGCCCCACGGGGACCAACCACCGACTTTGCGGGGAGCGAGCCACTGCGCCAGGCTGCAGCGCCCATGCTGCAGCGCCGCAGCGGGGCCACGGCCACGCTGCTGGGGAACTGCACCTCAGCCGAAGGGTTTGGGTGTTTTTGTTTCTCCTTTTTTTGTGTGGTTTGTTGTTTTTGGAGGGGGGGTCGTTTACTGTTTTGTTGTTTGTTTTTCTTTTCTTTTTTTTGCGGGGGTCGTTTTCGTATCGTTCTGTGTTTTGTTTGTTGTTGTTTATTTCCCTTTTTATGGGGTGTTGTTTTTCATTTTTATGTAGCTTTTTCGGAGGGGGGTCGTTTTCTGTGTTTGTTTGTGTGTTTGTTTGTTTGTTTGTTTGTTTGTTTGTTTTTGTTTGTTTGTTTCTTTCTTTCTTTCTTTCTTTCTTTCTGTTTTTCTGTCTTTCTTTCTTTCTTTCTTTCTTTCTTTCTTTCTTTCTTTCTTTCTTTCTTTCTCTCTCTCTCTCTCTCTTTCTTTCTTTCTTTCTTTCTTTCTTTCTTTCTTTCTTTCTTTCTTTATTTCTTTCTTTCTTTCTTTCTTTCTTTCTTTCTTTCTTGTTTTCTCTTTCTTTCTTTCTTTCTTTCTTTCTTTCTTTCTTTCTTTCTTTCTTTCTTTCTTTCTTTCTTTCTTTCTTTCTTTCTTTCTTTCTTTCTTTCTTTCTTTCTTTCTTTCTTTCTTTCTTTCTTTCTTTCTTTCTTCCTTCCTTCCTTCCTTTCTTTCTTTCTTTGTTTCTTTTTGAGAGGGGGGCGTTTTCGTATCGTTGTGTTTTTTGCTTGTTTTCCTTTTCTTTTTGTTATGGGGCGTGTGTTTTTTTTGTGTTTTTTTTTTTGGGGGGGGGAGGATTGTTTTCTTTTTGTTTCTCCTTTTGTGCCTCGGATCTTTGGACGGAAGAGCTTTTTTTTTCCGAATTGCACCCGCCAAAAGTGAACAACTTGAGGGGTCTCGCCAGCAACCAAGCCTTTAAGACAAAGCCAAATGGGAATCTAGGCAGACCGTTGGGGATGTCGAAGGACGACTTTGGGGGATCAGGGCTCTTGTCTCAAGTGCTGCGGATTCCACCCTCGGTTGCTAGGAACTGGAAGCTTTCCGTACTGGGCAAGATGCTTTTTGGGTCGTCCATTTGGGTTTGGATTTGGATCCTTTTTGAGAGGGAGACCAAGCGGACACCTACTTAAGACAAACCGATGTGAGTGGTAGTGTTGACTTCGGATTTCTCCGGAGGACCCTACTCGTCAGAGGACCCCTCAAAATCGACGGTTTTCTTGGTAAACAAGAACCACCCCTGAGAAGGTACGGTCCTCCGGATTCATCCGAAGTCAGCATTACACGACAACTGAGACCCTGTTTGACCAATTCACTCAAAGGAGATCTGGAGCCGAAGGGAGGGGCACTGAAAAAGCGAGGGGTCTCGTTTTTGGTTGTTCTCGACCTCGATGGGCAAATGCCTTCCAGGCGCCAGGGGTGAGATTGAAAGAGGAAGAAGATGGGCAGGAACTACTAGGTCCCCCAGTAGTGCCCGTTCTCACCCCTTTGGGGGAGGGTTCCCCTACTAAAATAGACTACAGACAAAAGGGTACCCCCATTCTAGCCTCTCTACTGGAGGACCTAGACTCCATCTTGCTGCTGCGTATAAGTAGGGAATCCCCCATAAACTATCCAACTGGTGGTTTCCTTGAAGGGACCAGCAAGACATCCAAGAGCTCTATGTGAAACTTCAATGTTCTTGGCAGATGTGTCTGTTGTTGGTTGTTTGGGTCTGTTCATTTCTAGCGGGGGGCTGCAGACAGAAACACGGTGTGTTATTACCATACCAAGGTTTCAAGATGCTTAGTGGCTCCCAGCCATCCCCTTTGCCTTTTGCTTTTTAGTGTTTAGCGGTAGCTTCCATTTAACCCACTAAAAGTTAAACTTTTAGCAGGGGATCTGAGGGCAGCCCAGGATGCTGGTCAATTTGTTCCCAGTTTGAAAGGACGATGGGACCATCTCCAAGCACCAAGCGGTACATGGCATTGTTGCGAAAAGCCTCGACCTCCGTTGGTGCATTTCCTCTGGTCAACCTTTGTTGTAAGAAGGAAACCTGCAAAGATACACCATCCCAAACATGATTTCATCTGTGATACCCCTTTTTTTTCTCCGGGGGGGCGGGGGGGAGGGAACCCGGCTGCATAAATTCAACCTACCCCTACCTTCCCCCAGACTAACATGGAAGCTCCCAGGACCCCTTTGGAAGACTTGGTTCCATTTGCAGAGGCCTTCTGGGAGCTTCCATGTTAGTCTGCTTAAAGGGGCGGGGTACTTAGTAAGTGGTTAGTAACCATGGGTATAACGGTATAACACACTGAACGGAGACTTAGAACCATGGCGTTTGTGGGTTATCTTACCATGGTGACTAATCACTTACCTGTACCCGATCGCCCCTTGTGAGGGAGTGTACATGGCGCCCTTCGAAGGCTTGGTGCTTCTGGGCGGCAACGATGGCACCCAGGCCCGGGATCCCGATGTGCCCGTCATGAAAGAGGGAAGCCTCCCAGAAATGGCTGTGGCGAATTCAAACCGGAATTCCAAAATGGGTTGCCCTGGTGGAAACATGGACCAAAGCCTGCGGTTTGCCCCTCCGATCGTTTAACTTTGAGCCACAGTCAACTGGCTGTGGTTGTCAAAAATCGGGTAACCCCAAAATGGGTTGCGAAGCCTGGCAAATTGAAACATGAACGATTTAACCTGCGGTCCCTTGTTGGTTTAACTTTGACCCATACCCAAATTAACATGGAACCTGACGTTTGGGGGGTGCTGGTTTGGACCATTTTCCCTTCAAAAGGGACCCCCTGTATTGGTGGGAGGTTTTTGTTGGTCGTAACCATGGTCATAAGGGGGACCAACCCCAGTTACCCAAGTTCTTACCATGGTGAACGCCTGCTTACCCCGTACCAACCTTGGATGTGCAACCAACGTAAGTAGGTAATTACTTGATCAGGCCATGGAATGCTGGCAAGTTTCATTTTGGGAGCCCCAGCGTGCAAACTGGGGTGTTGGAATTTGTGGTTATAAGCATGGTGATAGCTTGGGCAGCTGGGGTTGGTCCCCCTATATACTGTGGGTGGACGAAATCCTGCACCACCTAAAACCCTGGAATGATGATTCTCCTGCAAATACCAGCACACATTATGGTTTCAACCATGCTTACAAGCTCATGCTGGAATTCGTCCATCCACAGTTGACCAGGGTAACCCACCTAAGTTGGTTGAACATGCAAGCTTAGGGCAGGGCCTTTCCGGCGTTTCACAAAGGATGCGTGGAAGGCACTCAGCGCAGTTCAGAGGGGGTGGGCTCCCTGTTAACAATGTGGCGCTCTACGTACCCAAAATGGAACCCTGATAAATGGAACCATAGACCAAAACCTGCGTAACCCTAGCTCCTTAATTTTGAGCCACACCCATATCTGTTTCGACCCGCTGAAAATGGAACCTGCCGGACCACAAGTTCCCTTTTTTTTCTTGTGAGCGAAGCACGTCTAAGCCTCTGGCCTCTGGCGAACCACTGGCTGGACAGCCGGCAATGCTAAATTAAGTACTGGGAATCTGAGATTTGAGATTAAGTCTTGGGAATACTAAACTTGACTGCTAATGGGTTGGATCTTTAGACTTTAACTTTTTGGGAAATCAAGGGGGTTTCCACTAAACCCCCAAATTTTTGCCGGGGGGGTCAACAGCAACCTATTAAGTTTAAAATAGCGGGCAATACTAAATCAAGCATTGGCAATTCCAAGTCCAACCCAGGCCTCCCGCCCCTTCCACTAAAGAGACTCGAAAGGACTGTTGGCTCTGTCCAGGCAAACAGGGGGGGAAATGCGCCTACCAACTGTTGCAAAGGAGGATCTTGTCATATTTGGCCCATCCGATGGTTGGCACAATGGGTAGTTTCATGCTCAGGTCGTTTTATTTGTTTTCTTCACGAGAGGCAACAGGCACTCGCCTAGGAGGTGCTCGCCTGATCCTCAGGTGCTGGATACTGCAGAGGCCTACGATCCCGAAGCGGATGTCTGGTGACGCTGGCCTGCTTGAGCTTGTCCGGTTGTTGAGACGCATATCTCACAGCCTTAGACAAGAAATATCACGTTTCAGAAAGCCAAAGAAATCCCAAGGAAACCAACCGTTCCAAAAGAAGACTTAAGCATCTTCAGGATCGTTTTCGCCAGGCGGCCTCTACAGCCTATGACCAAGCGAAGGGCGGGCGCCTATGCAGCAGCAAGGAGCCCAAGGAATGGTGCCATTGGGACTTGCAATGGTATTCTCAGCTGTTCAGTGGCACCCCTTTTTCCTTTTTTGTTGGTGGCTGCCCCACCAAAAATGGTCTTCCCCAAAAAGGGTTCCCTTTTTTCCAGGGCCCCTGAACAACTTTTCCGGACTTTTCCGACATGTCGCGCGCGATCGGCCTCTCGGCGGAACGCGCTCTCCAAACTGGCTATACAAGGGGCAGTGATGCCCGAGGTGCGCGTTGGCACTCCAAAGGTGGCCAAGAACAGAGCACCAACCACATGGGGCGCCGCAAGGCAGCCGGAGATATGTAAAGCAAGCGCATCGGCGCCCGCATTGCGTGGTTGGGGCGCCGCAAGGTGAACCACGAGCGCTTAGCGCTCTCCTGACGTGTCCAAGAACAGAGTACCAACCAATTCGCGCAGTTGGGACGCCGCAAGGTGAACCAGGAGAAAAGCAACGCGAGAGCGCGCCACATGCAGTGTGTTCCAGCCCACAAGTTTCGTCGTGAACGCACCAGATGCCATGAATGCCGGTAACCCAGTGAGTCCACACCAAACTGTACAACCCTTTAGCGCATGATCTCGGCCATGCTCCCGAACCACTGGCTCAAGCAAAACTGACGGCCCGTCGCCCCTATCCAGAAGAACAGGAGGAGGAAGCCCGGCACTGAGGTAACCACACTTGCAGTCTCATAAGCACCACGGGGAGAGAGCAGCTCCTTGCTCCAAGACAACTTGCACCTGCACTTCATCTCACCTACAAGTTCCAGGAACACACAGAGCCCATGCGTGTTCAAAGTGAGCTGTTCCAAATTCTCCTCAAACCAGATGCTCCTGCTTGGCAACGTTTCCCTGGCCACCCTTCGCGCCGACGTATGAGGGAAGGGCTCAAAGGAACTGGCACGCACGCGGCTGAGACAAGCATGGTCAAGTGTAGCCTCCTCTTGATGTAGACAAAGAAGAGCACGCAGAGACTGCGAAGAGTCCACGATGCCCGCATTCGTACAACGCGCCAAAATCACAGAAATGTATTGCAGGATGTTCGCTGCATTCAAGGCACCTTGCGTGCCCACTACTCACCATGAACCACCGTACGACGATCCAACAGACATGTGGGCCTGCATCTCCAGCTCAAAGCAAGACCTACACCACGGCGCACCCACCCTGTAGATTATCGCAAACCCGTGTCCATAGCCCCCATTCCTTTTGGTTTCAATTGAAAACCAACCAACCAGGGTTTTCCCCTGAAACGGTCCAAGAATGGTGCCAAGACTCGGCTCGCGGCTGGGCGGCTTCATTTGTCAGGTTTGTAAAATTGTTGGTAAGGGAACATAAAGGAAGATGTTGGCTTCCATTTGCTTATGTTTTTCCCAGGTTGAGTTTGAAGGGAATCTATCACGACTGGAAATATGGCTATGGAGGTTGGGGTCAAGAAGAGTTCCGCTTCCCAGGCCTGCGAAGCTCTGTTTTTGGGTCGGGGAGGGGGTGGAGTTGGGTGTTGATGTCGGCCACCAACTGACCAGAAATGGGGCTGTGCTTCTTCGCGGCATACCTTTTGAGGGTTGGTTGAAAGGGAACACTAACTGGAACACCATGATGTTGTTAAGCGACTGGATGACACGTACGCCCAAGACCCCATTTTGGGCCCATGTTAGCAGGTGGTTCGGTATAGCAAAGCTTATCTGAGCCTTTCTAACGGTGGAACCCAAACTTAGTGGGTGTTGGACGCTGTTCACACGGTTAAACATCCATTGTTGGAGGGATCAGTGAGTGTATGCACCGATCCAGAACGATTGAAGTCGATACTGCCCGCGGGTATCCGATCCCCGCCCCTCGGTTGCATCCATTTTCCGCAAGCCATCGTCCTTTGGTGCGGACCGGAAGAAGCTGAATGGGGGGACCCACTTCCAGAACAAGACCGGAAGAAGCTGAATGAAGGGGCTCATTCAGAACAATACAGTTTATTGAAACACTGACCTAAGAAACCCTGGAATGATGCTTCCCCTGTAGATACCAACAAACAACGGTTTCCCATGGTTTCAAAGTGGTGTAGGATTCCTTCCATCATCCACAGTAGTGCCTGGACGCTCCGCTTCCCTTTGTTTAGAAAACTAATTTCAGTCTTTACATGTTGCTGTTTGCCAGTTTCGAAATGTGGCGGCATCTTTTGCACACTCTTGTGCTGAAAAGTTGCTATTCTCAAGCCGGAGCTACCGAGTGTACTTGGTGCATTGTGTACCGAAGGTGACCCTGCTGATATCGGTCCGATCATTTTGGTCCATCCGTATGTGTTTTTGGCCCATTCCCCGAGGCCCTCATCGTTTAGACCTTTTTCGCACCCAGCGACGGCGACTCGAGCCGCCGATCTCCAGGCCGTCAGGGGGGGGAAATCAGGGGCATGAAGTCATATTCTGGATGGACGAAATCCCTTCGCACCACTTGGAAACCATGGGAAACCATTGTTTGTTTGGTATTTACCTGGGAATCATGATTCTAGGGTTTCTTAGGTGGTGCAGGATTTCGTCCATCCACAGTAGGTGCCGTTTTTGGATCAGTTTGGTTGAACATAGACGGCAACATAGATGGCACCGGTAGATGCTTTGAGATCAGTGTGCTTGAACATAAATAGCACCGATTTCAGTCTGGTTCCAGTCCTTCACTGCCATTGATTTTTCTTAAAGGACACTCAGGCAAGTGGTAAGGAGTGCCTGTCCTTTTTTTAAATCTTAGGGATGGGCACGTGCGGACTTGGCGATTTGTCCCACCACCATGGCTGGTCTTTAATCACCCCTTAGACCGTTTTGGAGACTATAGGTGTCCTTTTGGAAAATAGATGGCCCTAATAAATGGAATAAAACCCATCTAAACCGGGACCTTCTATTGTTGACCGCCACTAACCTACAAAGGACACCTATGTTGGAGACCATTTCATTCCTTCAACAAGTTGCCCCACTCACATTCACACGGCACCTCGCAGAGGCTCCCTAGAGGAACATGATCTTCCAGGTAGCCTCCTACAAATTCCTTCGTGAAAGGGAGTCGTAGCAGCTACCAAGAAGAAAACTCTCCAAGTACGTGTCCAATCCAGTGGTTGAGATTCCTCAAATGGGAGGTCTCCTGGATTAAGTTTGCCTTGCGTTGATCTACTACGCACTTTCCGTGATTGACTTTGGGAATGTGTTTTTTTTGTGCAGTTCATTCAACACCAAATATTTCAAGTCGCAGGTTGTTCAAGTTCTTCACTTGCCTTGCAATGATTCGGAAATCCGCCGCAATGGGAACCCAGGATGTATAGACCCCTGGCTCTTTGATAGTGGGTGTCCCATTTTAGAGGGAAGCCTTCACTTTCACTTTTGTGGAAAAAACCACTTAGGGAACCCCACATATTTGGATGGGTGACTGGCTTTGATTCAGCTGGCCATGTAAGACAATACGTATTAATTATACAAAAGTACTTTCCCCAGACCTCCTACTCAACACCCAGTCGCAAACAAAACTAAAAAAAACACACACACACACACACACATACTAGTTCACAATACTAGTCACTCAGAAAAGCCTGTATGATATTTAGCATGAAAGGATGGCATTGTTTGGCCCGAAAGCTGAGTAGGGAAAGTGAAGCGGGAAATGGGAAGATTCTCCTGACCAGCACCTAGGCCAACTGCTTCCAAGGGACTTCTCTTTCATCCCAGCTTCATCCCATCTTCGATTGTCCAAGCCAATCTTGGACCTTTCGCAGCCCAAGAATGAAAGGGCTTGAAAATGCGCCTGCGAAGGGGAAGGGGCATTTGAGCATACCGCCGGCTCCAAATACCCACATTTTTAGGGTACCGGGTAGACCCTCTACCAAGAGGGGAGGTATTTAGTTTGAAAAACCAGGCTTTCCAAAAAATACCCCAGAAAAAGGTGGGTATTTGGAGCAGGGGGTACCCGGGGTTTGTCTTTGGATGGGGTTGGTCCACTCCCGAGCCCCGCTCTACTTGAGGCGGCAACGTTTTCGCGGCTCAGCTGAGTCCGCGCGAAGCTCCCCGAAGTGGCTGAGCTGAAAAGAGCCGAAGGTGCGGTGCGGTGCTTGGCTAGGTCCCCAAGTAACCCGGCCAGGTGCCCTTGTACCCTTTTTGGGAAGAGGGTTCCCCTACTACATAAAAAAAGGGTACCCTTATTCCCCATTCTTTCTAGGGATCCGAATCTTTCTAGAAAACCTCCGGAAACCCAGGAAAAATGGATCCGGTTTTGGGAAAGAACGACGGTTTAAAAGAATGGGGAATCAACCCCTAGAACTTTGGTGTGACCTTGGCCCCTTGAAGCTGTTGGCAACAAATGGTGATCGACCTTCTGCCCGGAAACAGGAGCAACCCAGTCCAGGCTAGCTTTTGCCAAACTTAGCCAGTCTTTCTCCCCTTCCGAACTTGCTGTAGATTGATTCTACCTTTTTGTTGGACTAACAAACAGTTCGCTTGCTGTAGGTCTAAATCTATTCTAGCATCATTTCAGTAGGTGGCAAAGATGTATGTTACCAAATGCTGGCACCGGGCCTGGGCCAACACGTGGTTTAAGACACGCTTAAGTCATTATCGTTTAGGCAAGCCTTGGTGTTGGTTCGATCTACCCGCGAGAAAGTGGTCACTTTGGCATTCCTTCTTGAATTTCCATCCCACAAAGGGGGGGTTCTTTATATGGCGTCTTGTTTCCGGACTGCTTTAGCTAGATTGCCCAAAGCCGTCCTTTTCAGCTGTTGGTGTCCCTGATGTTGTCCATGTGGCCCACGGTTAAAGGTTAGCCTTTGGTTTCTGGGCCCTGGGGCCAGTGAGCAGCTGTTGAAGTTGACTCGGCACGGCTCCCGAAAGCGGGACAGCGCTGCTCCTTTTGTGCTGATATTATAATATATATATATATTATGATATTGTACTATATTATATTTTGCTTTTCCCTTGATTGATTTGGTTCTCTTCGCTCGAAGCAAAGGGAGGATTTGTTGTGAACATACCATGGAGAGGTTGCCATGTCGGCTGATCCTTGGACACGGCTATGCGCTCCCGGCTGGGCTCTTAGGGTCCGCATTTGGGCAGTTGTTCCAGTAGGCGACACACGCGAGCGATGTCCGGGTTGCCAATGTTAGTGCCCTTAAAAGGTTGCCCTCATGTTCATCTGTGGGTGTGTTTGCGTTGGCACCGATCTTTGGATGGGAAGGGTTGGAGATGGACAAAAATCGACATGCATCGAGTTCCGGGAACATTGTGTCATCCGATTCACAGCTCGCCTTAGCCCGGAAGTATCAACTTAAATGACGTCGCCTCTAGGATCCTACCTGCCGAGTGAAAAAAAGCAGAAAGAGGGTACCCTCAAAAGACGCACAAGTGCGCCATAGCAGGTTTTTTTTTTTTTTAAATCTTGCATTCAGTGGCCTATTTCTGGTTGGAAGGTTCTTTGTTCACCGATTCCTGGACTGGCCGGGTCCATCAGCTTCTGGTTCCATTTCTAAGACGAAGGCATGGCCCTCCTTTCCCTGAGGATTCCTGATCTATTTGCGAAGAGTACACGTCCCATATGGAGGCTCAAAACGGGGAAGTGCGTGTCACTTCAAAGCAACCCAACAAGAGCACCGCTAGACAAAAAGATCCCGACGGGCTTGAGGGTCCTTAAATATGGTAAACCTTAAAGGGTCTTGACGGGCCCCATTGTTTTGCCATTGTCAAAGTCACCACCTACGTGGTAGGTCAAAGTCCAGTTTCTGACTTTGATAACCCCTAGAAGCACTCAAAATAAAACCCCAGCTTGAGGGATTGGTTTTTACCTAGGGTCTGAACGTCATTGGAGATATCGGTGACCCGGGCACCCACATCTTGCCACCGCCATCGTGCTATGAATGGGATGGCAGGCGCCCGTTTGCGTCGTCCGCGTCGATGGGTGTCAAAGAATCTGCTGCCGAAGAACCCAGTTGTCTGTTTTCCCTCAGGAAACACAAAGGGGCTGGGAATTGGTCATTTGTTCCAAGGCTTTGATTTTACACCCAGGTTAGTCATGGTCATCAACCTGGTAGCCGCAGTTTTGGCCAAGCAAATGTAAGGCACATACGGAATTGCATGAAGGGAACCATGACCATGACACCACATAATTAGGGCGTTTTGACCGCGGCACATATGTCCGGGCATGGTTTGAGTCGGCTTCGTATTCAGCTAGTTATCTGAGCATATAGGCCGGTGGTATCTTCCTGATCCTTCTCTC